GGGAGGGGTTGGAAAGTGTGTGTGTGTTAGTTACTTGATTTAGCCATTGAGAGAGAGGTTGGGAGGGGTTGGAAAGTGAGAGGGAGGGAGAATGGGGGGAGGGGAGAGAGACAGAGAAAGCCAAGTAGGATGGAAATTGTCTGCCCATTAGAGCAGTGTGCATTTTGGAGTTCAGTGTTGTATGTCTCAATATGCACATAGCTACATGTACATGTCTTTTCTTGTTCATGCATTTGCCCCTGTCTTTCATTTTTGTAGTTTTTTTTTTTTTTTTTTGGTTTGGCAGAGTAAAAGTCATGTTTTCTTCTACTTAAATTAGGAATATTGACATAATAGTAGTTGTTTTTGTTCTGTATGCAAAAGGAAATAATAAATATGAAGTAAGAAAACAAATTGAAGTATTTTTGTAACCCCATGATGATGTCCTTTCCAGACTCCAGAGTCCTGACGGCAGTAAGAAGCCTAACCCATGTGATGCCCAGACTATCATAGCTGCACTCAAAGAATCTCAGAAAAGGTTAGATGGCTGCCATGCACACTTACTAATGGTAGATTAAGGTGTGGGGCCGGGGGGGGGGGGGGGGGGACAAGAATGAAAAGAAATTGTCTTCCTTTGCTGGGCAAATATAATATATCTAATATATCTGGGCAAATATAATATATATCTGTTGTTCTTAAACAAAGGATTCATTTGCTTTTTTGTGCACTTGCAATGAATGTTATTATATTAGTTTCTGTAGAGGGCTGAAGATGACTTACTTGCATTCTTTTCACTTACTATTTTTGTATCTGTTGTTTGGAGAAACTATTGTTGTAACGCATGTTTTGTTTTATTACTGGGTTCACTGTACTAAGATAACATTTCTTTTTTCCTGAACGTGGAATGGTTTTTTAGGCAGATTGGAATGTAGAACTAAAGAAAGGATATATGTTTAAAAAATAAAGATTGAAATATGAAAAAAAAGTGAAATATTTTGTATTCTTTGGTCAAATTGCAATACAAAGCATATGCATCAAATTAAGTATATTATAATCTTAGTCTGCTGTTTGCTCATGAATGAGTTTCAAATAAAGTATACGGTTTAAGAAGATATGCTTCGATTATAATGATAAAAATTAGTGGTATATATCTAAATGTCCTGAAACTTTTTCTAACCATTTTTGACTGACATTTATCAATTATCACATTTTGTCGATATAAAGTATTTTGTAAAATTTGCTCAATTCAGAAAAAGAAAAATTGTCACTGAGGAAGAACTGAACACCACTATTTCAACACCAGAGAAAGCCAGTAAAAAGAGGTAAATGCCATGATATTACCAAAGCAGTAGATATAGCCCAACCTGGAGTTAGATGTCCAGCCATTTTCAACATTAGTTTATATACCTTTTATGAGAATAGACTCCATTAAACATTTTAATTAAAAACTTCAGTTCTAGGTATGACTTACAGAATTCTATTTATATTGAGAAAACCATCTTGGTTTACATTTTACAGTACAGAAAAACAAAATTGATAATGAATTTTTTAAAAATTCTATTTTTAAAATATAGGAAACAGATGAAAATGACAGAGAAAAGTCCAGAGACCCACATGCCAGCTTTTCCAAATGGAGAACTGGGCATAAACTTTTCCCCCAAAAGGATATCCTCCTTAAAAAGACCCGCACTGTCGTCTGCTGGACAGGATAATCGGGAGTATCATATAAAACACAGCTCGGCAAAAAGAGCCAAAAGCAACAAAAACAATCCCATTCTCAGTTCATTGAGCTCATCTAAAAGATGGATTCAGAAACAGAAGGTAAAAATTAACTTGGGTATTGAACTGCTAAGAGGGCAACCATTTTATCTTCATTTTCACAAGTCCACAGACCGTATACTCTTGAAGTGGAGAGGTCAATGCCCCCTGTACACTTTTGGGTAAATAACAGATATGATGATCCACGTTGCTGTCAAATTCTTTGTCAAAGGTTGTCATTTTTAGCTTTTCACCTTATACTCTCATGGGGGGGGGGGGGGGGGGGTCTTAAAAAGTTTACTCTTTGTAGACTTGTGAAAATGATGATGAAAATGGATTACTCATTAATGTCATGTACAGAAAATTGTAGTAGGTTTAAGAGCCTATAATGTAATGACAGCATTAGTGACTAAAAATCATAGACAAGTGTAAGATGAACAAACCAAATACACGTGCTTTTCAAATTGTCCCTTTTGTAGGTGTTCGCTGCATCATTTTTCAGACTTTAGAAATTAGGTGACAAGTTTCATATCTGTGTTTCAGCTCAAAGAAAAGAAGAGGAAATCTGTATCCAGTCACAGCAGGGCCAGCACTCCGGCCAGCTTGGACAGAAGTTCTAAAGACTCGGACAGTGCAATAGGAGATAGCAATAGGAGTAGCCCAAGGTAGGACCCTCCACTCCCTGCCTCCCTCCCTCCCTCTCCCCCCCTCTCTCTCTCTCTCTCTCTCTCTCTCTCTCCTCCCCCTCTCTCTCCCTNGAAGGAGCATACATATTTCCTTTAACAGCAAAATGTTCATGTCTCTTTCATGAGGGAGGATTAACCACTGACATTTTTCATGGCCATTTTAAGAAGTAGGAGATATTTCTGTGAAAGTTCAAGGAAAAAAATGTTTTTTTAAGGAATAAAATACAGTAAAAAAAAGAATGGCATTTGTAGGAATACACAGTATTGCTTAGAATTATCACTTAAAAACATTACTTTGATAATTTTTTTTTACAATTTGTCAGTTATACATAAAAATCTAAGCTATTTTCATTGTAAATAATACTGCAATAAAGCAAACAATATTTTAATGTAAATTTGTCTCGCAATCAAGTACAGATAAGGGTGGAGCAGGTATATACTGTCAAATCCTTTACATGGTCATGAAAAACATTCATGCAGAACAACTTGTCTTCAAACCAGGCAATGCTTGTAATAAATTACTAGTAGAGACACAAATCAAATAAAATTGTATATATTATATAATCACAAAACGTAGCTTAATCCAGTGGCTTTTGGCTAAATGAAATTAAAATTTGATTATTAAAGCTATGGACGTGATGTGCTCAGCAACAAAAAGACCGACACTGTAGTTTTGTATGAGAGCAAGGTCAAAGTTTTTTACGAGAAAAAACTGATCCAGAAAAATACCAGTTAGGAAAACCACGTTAAAGATATGATTGAAAATAGGTGTAATCAAAGCAGTGATCAAAAGTAACACCTAGTTGGGAAAACAGTACACTTTTGCAAGCCAAGACAGGCCCGAGGTGTATCCGGTCACGTGACACCAGCCACAAGCGAACAGCGTCGAGACACACACTGTCAGCATTTTAGTAGCCACCAATTTCCAGGGAAAATGTCGGCGTTCACAGAAGTTAACAAAGTTGATATGTCACTAGGTAATATTTCAGAACATTTTGAGGTGTAGACAAATGTTAATACATCTTTTTGTGTATAGATGCGTGATAAGTTGAAAATAATCTCATATCGGACGGTTTCAAACTGAGCCAAAAAGTAAACAATCGTTCCGTAGAAAATTAGAAATGTTCACCAAAAATACTGAACACCCTTCTTACGATTTATGTTTAAAATAATGTTGTTGATGCTCTCATTTAACATCAGCTTCACGTCCTCTTTATTTCATGTTTTGACGCTTTTTAAACGCAGAGAAATGTGAGAGAAACTAACGGCGATGGTTGGAATTCAGTGGGGATGCCATACAATCTTTGTCTAAAACTCCTGTTCGTGCCCCCCCCCCCCATTTTCATATACCCACTACTGTAGACATTAAAGATAGAAATGTTTAGTTTCATTTGGGTGTAATAATTACGAGCTTTGACACGGGGGGGGGGGGGGGTCAGCAAAAAATTATTATGACATATACCAGTTTAGTTGTGGCTTAATTTGCTTTCAGATGACATTATAAAGCTGAATAGGAAAGAGAAGAAAAGTCTGGCTGTTCAAAAGAGAGCCAAACAGGCAAAGAAAGTAGTGCCCACCATGGCAAAGGTGAAACAGTTCAGGTCAAAGTTCAGCAAGGGTGCAGGAAACAAGTTTGCAGGACAAACACAGGTAAATTTAAAAGCCTTAATTCTTACACTACATACTTGCTTCTGTGTTTGGCCATACATGCTTTGCAGGTAAGGCCTCATAACACCCTGTGTTAGTGTGTGAGAGACTTGTCAGAAACTCCAAACTCTTGTTACTATTTGTGGCCTCACCAACAAATGACATGCAAAAGAGGTAGCAATGTTGCACAGCTGAAATAAAAAGAGAAACACTCTACTGGTTCTCGAACCAATACAAAATTACTGTATTTGCAAATGATAAGCTTCACAGAGGGCACACTGTTACCCCATAATGTGGATATTTATAGCCTTGAGAGTTTGAAACACTTGGTTAAGAACCTGGCATGTGAGGTCAGAAACTGAGGCAAACTTGTTTTCTATGGTGCATTTACAAGTATCTCTCAAAATTTACAATTTAAAGAAAACGGCAATGAAAAAGGGCTGCTAGTAACTGGTTTATATACTCAATATTATTACCTTGTAATAATTTCTAAATAATTGCTTATATGTTAAAACAGCTGAAAGGTCAAGGTAACAGAAGGCAGAATTTGTCCCAGAAGCGAGCTCAACTTACTACCCAGAAAGGCAGGCGACCTGTGAACACTGTTGCTAAGAGAGCTCTGCAGGCAGCAAGGAAGACGTTGACCAGGAAGAATACACAACAGATGCAGAAACAGGCCAGGCAGAATCTCCAGATGCAGAAAAGAGGGCTGCAGGTAAGTGATAATTGGAAATTTCATTGATAATCAGAGATTCAGGGATTTTAAGTTGTTTAAAGTCTTTGTGAATGTTTTTTTTTCTTTGGATATATCATTTTTGGGCAGTTTTTAAGCAGCCTCCAGATCATGGTCATAAGGCCACAGAACCATTTCTTCCTACTTTTTCTAACAATGTAAAATTCTGTCTGATATTACTGAAGGAACAGCCGGCTGTACAGAATAGAAGACGGAAGCTTAACAGAGGTTATGTTGGTCAGCAGGCACAGCAGATCCAGCAGCCACAACAAAGGAAAAGACAGTGGAGGAACAAGGCAGGGAAAAATAACCAGAATATCCTCACAGTCAGCATCAATAATAATAGGTGTGTAATCAGATCTCTCCTCTTTCTTTGTCTCTCCCCCTCTCTCTCTCTCTTCAATTTCCCCTTTGTTAAGTGTAGTATATTCTAGTATGACAATGGGCATTTTAAAGTCTTTCTCTCCCTCTCTCTCTCTCTCTCTCTCTCTCTCTCTTAAATTTTCCCTTTGCTGAATGTAGTGTATTCTAGTGTGACCATTGTAAAATCTCTCTCTCCCTCCCTCTCTCTCTCTCTCCCTCCTTCCCTCTCTCTCTCTCCCTCCCTCTCTCTCTCTCTCTCTCTCTCTCATCCTATCCATTGCTAATAGTAACATCTGAAGATTAAGTCTGGTAGACCTTCATCAGCAAGAAGTTTTCTTATAATTTTCTAGTAGAGAAGAAGCAACAGCAAATAAAAATGATGAAGCCCCTGCCTCAAAGGAGAGCCAATCAGAACATGACGAGGTCTCCAACACTATGTCTACTCCAAAGAGAAATTTATTTCCGCAGAAAACGATAGGTTCAGCAAAACGAAGAATGGGGCAGATACATATCGCACCAGATATGCTCAATAAACAGGTAGAGTGATAGCAACTAATTCCAAACATCAGGCTTATGACAGTATTGAATTTCTCACAATATTGAAACTATATTAATTATATTAAAGGTTTTCTCCAGGAAATTTCTTGGGGGAAAAGGAACATTTTCTCCTTGTGATGAATCATTGCTTTATCTGTCCCGACATATGTAGTTGATAGTTAATTTTTTTCCTTTTTCTTATTATTTTTCTGTTATTATATTTTGATTATTTTTTTCTTTTCAGAAACAGGTAGAACCATACTTTATACCCTCTCCAGAAGATTATGAAAAAGATCGTGAGATGGCAGAGAAGAGATTGGATCATATGTTAGCCATGGTGGACAAAGGGTTGCAGGAGAAGAAAGGTATAAACTTGTGAAGTAAATTGTCTAAAATTTAATTTTGGTGTGAGAAAAAGTGTTTTTATGATTTGTTTAAAAACTTTTTTGAATTAAATCATAAAGGAATTATTATTTGGTTTGGAGAGAGGCTCATAAAAGCATACACCGTGCATTAGTTGACAAAAAAAAAAAAATATTACAAACTCCCAAGTGCTTTAATTCTTATTTTTAACATCATGAGTGAGCACTCTTTATAAACCTGATGCAAGTGTCTCAAAAACTACATACATGAACTCAAAAATGGTTTTATGGATTGTAATACTGATAACAGTTTTATAAATTGTAAACTTTGCTTATAAAGACAAAAGTGTTGAAATGTCCAGAAAAAATGTTTTTTTTTTATAAGTCTAGCATTCAGTGTTTGTCTTTGATGAAATAAGATGGCAACATTTTTTGACAAGCTAGCTTATAGAGCTCAATTGTTTACTGTTGCATGATTTTTTTTGTAATTCATGTATTGTGAATTATTTCTGTTGACATTTAATTATGTTACAGATAAACAGAAGTTACAACAGGCAAGTGAAACATCTTTGGCCAGTCAAAGCAGCACTCTGTCCACTGTGACCACATCGATATCGGTCAGTAACATTTCCCTGCCCACAACAGCAGCAACAACAACTGTAAGTGGTGGATTTTCTTTAAATCTGCCATCTTCAAGTTCCAACGCTTCATTGTCATCAACAATGGGTACGACAACTGTATCAACAACAGCAGGAACAACAACTACTTCTGCCACAGGTTTTAGTTTGACATTGCCTACTCCTGTCAGTAAGAGCACAGGTTTGAGCAGCTTGCCCACGACAAGTCAATCCAAGACTTCAGGGTCAGAGACTGTTGCCCATGCAACTGCAGTAGCACCTGGTGGCTTGCAGTTTGGTGCAGCCGCATCAGATAAGGCAAACAAAAATGTAGGTGGAGACACTAAACAGGAAAATACCAGTTCTCAGTCATCTGCTCAGTCACAGTTTTCATTTAAGCCAGCATTCCCTGTTGTATCGGCCACTCCCACGGTAACATCAGCACAGTCCTCCTCCATAGGTGGCAGCACAAGCTCCACTCCAAGTACAACGCAAGCAGGTGGGATTAATTTTGGAACATTTGGGGCATCACAAGCTTCCACAACACCTAGTTTTACACCAGTGTTTGGTCAGAGTATGAGCAGCCAAAATAGTGCTGCTGGTTTAGCTGGTGGCTTATCTTCTGCAGCCACATCAACAGCGCCACCTACAGGAGGTTTCTCCTTTGGCAAGGACCCAGCCACAACATCTACTTCAGCCACGGGAACAGGAGCGTCAACAGGAGCTGCCCTGGGTGCGGGTGGGATTAGCTTTGGTATGACAAACACCACCTCTACGATGTCGGGAACTAGCACCACCACCACTCAGCCGAAAAATGGGTTCAGTTTTGGTGGTGTTGGCAGTGGCACCCAGCAGACAACTACGCCTGCAGCACCACCTCCAGCCTATGGTGCCATGTTTGGGCAGGGGGTTGGTGGTACGGCACCAGGTAATACCACGGCGCCTGTATTTGGCCAGGTGGGTATTAAAAACGGTTGTGGGTCATTATGATCATCATCATAGACCTTACAAATCTATCAGCCCCAATTTAAATTAATTCATCTGAATGTGATATCTACAGATGAGTGTTATTACTAATAATCTGTTAAAAAATGAGATTTAGAAAATATAATTTCCAATAATGAAATCAGAATATTATCTTTGAAAAACCACTGCTTTACTTGAAGTAAGTTAAATCCACTACTAGTAATTTGTTGCCTGGATAACAGCAGAATGAAAAAGAAATTATCCATTTAATAATATATTTTTATATTTTTTTCACAGACTAATACTGTGACAACAGTTGGTACTACAAAGGCTACCTTTGGCTTTAGTTCCACCACCACACAGCCATCTCCAGCACCTGGTACAGGGTTCTCTTTTGGTGAGTTATTTTTTGAGACTGGAGGCTCAGCAAAGAAATAAAGTGTTAATTTTGTTTGCCTTATTCCCCCAGTTGGAGTTGCAGTCAAATAAAGAATTGAAAAATTCAACCCCACACTGGACACACTGGCACAGATTGTAGCTGCGACAACAGTGACAATTAGTTTGTTTTCTTAGTGAAGCTTGTTATATATAGATAAAATGTCTGAGATCATGAGTCTTACTCTAACATGAGGTTCTTTATATGAAGGAAGAGGTTTCTTTTGTGTCGACTTCAGTTCATAGATTTTGAAGGGTAATCATTTATCAGTAATCTGAAAGAAGCTTTTACACCATTTAACTTTAATTATACAGAATTCACACATTTTAAAAATTCACAAAGAATGTTTGTATAATATACCTTCAAGTAATCATTTTCATGTATTACAAACAGCATGGTATGTTAGAACATTTGGTTTTATCAGAATTAGGCAGTTGCAGTGATAGACATTTAGTCTCTATGTGATGAGTGTGTTTATGTTCAACTTCCTCACTTCAGGTGGGTTGGGAGCTACTGCAAGCACCACAGCAAGCACCACCACCACTTCAGGCACCACTGGATTTTCCTTTGGCACCACTTCTACTGGTGCAGGAGGAACCACTGGCACGACATTTGGTGGCTTTGGCACTACTTCCACCAGCGCTGGAACCATTGGCACCACTTTTGGTGGTGCTCCAACTACAGCATCATCGGCACAACCGGGGTTTGGCTCGACAGGGGTCACGCAGAGCAGTGTCTTCTCCTTTGGTGGATCTAGCAACACTACTGCTGCCCCAAGTGGTGGCACAGGATTTGGAAATACGAACACAAGCCAAGCTAATGGCGTCTTTAATTTTGCTGCCTCTGTTGGTACTGCAGCATCACAAGCTAAAGGCACAACAGGGCCCCTTTTTAACCCTGGTGGTGCCACTACACAAACTACAACAGCCAGTAGTGGATTTAATTTCTCTACAGGGATCACTCAGTCCTCAGCAGGTTTTAATTTTGGTGCCGCCGCTGCCTCCCAAACGGGCACTGGGTCTGTCTTTGGTCAGACAGCTGCCCAAGTAACGGGAGGTGTTGGAGCCAAGCCGTCTGGTTTGTTCACATTTGGCAGTGGTAGTAACAGTACTTCTAACAGTAATAACAGTACTCAGCAGCAACAACAGCAGCAACAATCTCAATCCAGTGGATTGTTCATGTTTGGTGCCACAGTTGGTGCGAAAAGTGACACCCAGACAGCTGGTACTGGGCTGTTCAGTTTTGGTGGTAATTCTGTAGGGCAAAGTGCAGGAACGGCCTTCGGAACACAGGGCTCTAGTACTGGAACAGCCTTCGGAACACAGGGTGCCAGAACTGGAACAGCCTTTGGAACACAGGGCACTAGTACTGGAACAGCTTTCGGAACACAGGGTGCTAGTACTGGAACAGCCTTTGGAACACAGGGCACTAGTACTGGAACAGCCTTCGGAACACAGGGCTCTAGTACTGGAACAGCCTTCGGAACACAGGGTGCTAGTACTGGAACAGCCTTTGGAACACAGGGCACTAGTTCTGGAACTGGCTTTGGAGCGCAAGGGACAGGGTTTTCATTTGGAGCAACTGCGACTCCTAATGCATTTGGGAATCCTCAGAAACAAACCCAAAGTGCATTTGGTGGAGCTTTGCCGTCCCAGAATGCTTTTGGAACAAGTGGGCCTTCCCAGAATGCTTTTGGTGCTAATCAAGGTCAAGCAGCCAATGGTAAGTTAAAAATGTGGGTTTTTGCATTTATAAATGAACATATAATATTTCATATTTCAGTTAAATTTATATACTTTATGAATCATATTAATTTCATATTTTAGCTCTTAATAGATTTTTTATTAATTTATTCCTAGGAACCCAGCAAGTGTCTTTTAACTTCGGTCAGTCCTCTGGGCAGACACCAGCGTTTGGTCAGTCAGGGAAAACTGGACCTCCGACCTTTGGTCAGTCCACGCCCGCCCCGCCCTTTGGCACTCCTGGCGGTCAGGGTGCCACGCCTACCTTTGGTCAGTCAACGCCAGCAGCTCCAACGTTCGGAAGCCCTGCTGCACCTGGATTTGCCCCTGGCACCCCTACAAACTTTAACTTTGCTGCAGGCACATCAGCGCCGCGACCACGTGTTGCTGCACGTGGAAGGAGAACAGTTAGGAAGCGCTAACTGTGTTAGGTTTTATTAAATGTATGTACGCACTCCAGTCCAGCTAACGTAACTGCTAACTCTTTGTGGCTGCTCCAGTGCAGCTAACAAAACTTGACCATCAAAGAAATTTAGCCACAGACAAGTAGACAGCTAACTGTTTGTGGCTGCTCCAGTGCAGCTTTCTTACTTTACCCTCCATGAATTTCAGCTGCAAGCAAGTCCACAGCTTAATCAAGTGTCATCAGAAGTGCCGATAGATTCGGAAACATTTGCTGAGGAAAAAAATCAAGTGTAATTGTGATTATATCTGTATGGAGGCACTACATCTTTTCCCAGCACTTCCTTCAGTGATAATTCTCTGCAAGTACTGCTGTGTTGCTTAAATGTGCTACATATTTTAACAATATTTATATATATGTATATTGTACAAAGATATGTAATCAAATATATGATATACGATATAGGTCATCAGAAGGGGATTCACTCGGTCAGCTAAGCTGCCATGGTTTTCCACGTTTCCAGTTTTGCCATAGGTTGCAGAACGTGGATTCTGTGAAATTCAAAGAATTAAGATTACTGGAATACCAATTAGTTTACTTATTAGTAATGAAATATGAAAAAAATATTGTTCTTGGAAATCGAAATTGTGTAATTTTCCAGACAGTGTTCTTCATCTTCTGATATGTATGTTGATTTCTAGAAACTCTTGTAATATTAACTATTCTTGTTTGTTACATCATTTTTTTCAGGATATAAAAAAGATGATGGGCATTTGGTGTTTGTTTTAGTAGGACAGTAATGTTGAGTAAACTTGATAATGTTGTCAGCATAGAACTTTTTTTTTCTCTTCATTAATCTACTCTCAGTTACTAGCTCCTGTTAATCTTCAATTTCACAATTTTGATTTGGAATCTATTTTTTAGTAGAATTGCAGTTATGTAGATGTGAACTTACTTTTTGCAAAGGAAAAAAAAAGAAGACCACAATTACACAAAGAAAATAAATAATTTATTTTTCTACCATTTTGCACTAAGAATTCTGAATTCTGAGAGAGAAAGTTAGTTCAGTTAGCAAATGTTTTGCTTAAGTTGTTTTATATGATGTCATATATTTAGTTCAAATGTCAAGGGCATAAAAGGTCAAATATAACTGTCAAGTCATTAAATTTGTATTACCTTTCCTGAATGTGAGAAACTTGTATCTTTGTCTTGCAAAAAGAATATGTGAACCATTGGGGGAATTCAAAATGTTTGCTTGGAACATGAAATGATAATTTTGGCATGTGTGACACATTAGATGAAAAAGGGAATGCTTCAGTGAATTTAATACTTTATATTTCGTGCAAAAAGGTATACTTGTTGAATTTCAGATTCTATGTATCTTTTGTAAAAGTGGAGTGGATATTTGAGTGAGACCGACTCTGTTACAGTGAATGTGTTAAATACTGTAGCATAGTTAATATATGAACACGTGATAATGTTTTAGCATTATTAGTTGTATATTAATGTTTTAAGTTGGGATTGTATTGCTTCCATCTTTGATAAAGCTAGGGCACTGAAGTTCTTCCTTTTTGGTGCTATCTTTGATAAAGTTATGGCACTTTTTGGCAAAGTTCTTCCTTTTTGATGCTATCTTTGATGAAGATAGGACATTTTCGGACAATTTTTTTTCTTCCGTCAAGCCTGTAATATAGGTAAAAGCAGAAGTTGAAAATAAATTGTAACTCTTTAAAATTTAATTTTACATTCTTTTCAGACAGAACTGGCATCATTTGCAATTGGAGAATCCTTTTTGTGCTGAAAATGGTTTTATATCAGTGATTTCAAAAATTCATTACCAATGAAATGGCTGTACAACATGTAAAAATGTGTGAATAGGTAGTTTTTCTTTTATTAATGGCTGGACACTTTTTTTAGCTTATTGACAAAGTTTAAGCATAAGGCCAAAGTAATTAAAGAGTCACCTGTTGTTTGATATAATAAGTATGATTTATATGGTGAAACTGTCGAGATGTATGGCGTGTAGTAACTTTTGAAAAGGGGCAATTCTTGCTAGGGACATGGGAGATGGTTTTGTTCTCTGTTACAATCAGTGTTTTAAATATGATTCCTATTTTAAAAAACCCTGCTCAGCTTATGATACAGAGCAAGATGGAGCTACTTTAATTTTTTTGTGACTGAGAAAAAAGGCGATATTCTTCATGAGAGACTAGAATTTCCCCTTGAGTGTAAGATGAATTATATTATTTTAAATGCCTGTGTGAATGTAGGTAATGGAAAAGATGGAATATCATGTCGTGTGTATGCAATAAATTTGTTAACTTTTTTATACTGTGTTTTCCTTCTGGATATAGATGGTTTTTACGTTAATACGTAAAAGCCTCAGTATTCGTATTATTAGTACCACCAGCATGTATGCTGGCAGTGCTCGTGGTTTAAGTCCCAGCCCGTCTCATACAGCTCCGCACTCTGGTGCCGGATACAAGTCACCGTTACCACTTCTCCTAGTTCACAAGGACCTGTGTCCCCATGTCTCGGATTTAGGTGACATATAATCTCAACTTGTGCCCCGTGTTTTTTTTTCCTCAGTTAGTGCGTTGGCCTAGGCGTGATGCTCGTTGAAACACATCCTTGTCAAAATTTGCAAAATGGAATGCTAAATGTCTCCCAAACTGAAGGAATTATGTGGAAAATTACTATAGAAGTCTGACTGAGAGTCCTGTGGTGATTCCAAATGGATTTGACCTTTGACCGTTATTGCAAGGTCAAACAGGCCAAAATTTTCTAAAAATGAGAATTTTCTGCNATTTTTTTGTGACTGAGAAAAAAGGTGATATTCTTCATGAGAGGCTAGAATTTCCCCTTGAGTGTAAGATGAATTATATTATTTTAAATGCCTGTGTGAATGTAGGTAATGGAAAAGATGGAATATCATGTCGTGTGTATGCAATAAATTTGTTAACTTTTTTATACTGTGTTTTCCTTCTGGATATAGATGGTTTTTACGTTAATACGTAAAAGCCTCAGTATTCGTATTATTAGTACCACCAGCATGTATGCTGGCAGTGCTCGTGGTTTAAGTCCCGGCCCGTCTCATACAGCTCCGCACTCTGGTGCCGGATACAAGTCACCGTTACCACTTCTCCTAGTTTACAAGGACCTGTGTCCCCATGTCTCGGATTTAGGTGACATATAATCTCAACTTGCGCCCCGTGTTTTTTTTTCCTCAGTTAGTGCGTTGGCCTAGGCGTGATGCTCGTTGAAACACATCCTTGTCAAAATTTGCAAAATGGAATGCTAAATGTCTCCCAAACTGAAGGAATTATGTGGAAAATTACTATAGAAGTCTGACTGAGAGTCCTCTGGTGATTCCAAATGGATTTGACCTTTGACCGTTATTGCAAGGTCAAACAGGCCAAAATATTCTAAAAATGAGAATTTTCTGCAAAAAAAAAAAAAAAATTGTCCCAATTTTCAGAACCTACACAGACCGATGATATTATACTAATGTGAGGGGTTACAATTAGGGACTCCTTTCATCTTCAGGAGTTTGGGATCAATCGGTGCATTTTCACAGGAGAAGCAGCCATAAGCCATCAGAATTAATGTTAACTGTAACGTTAAAACATTTACCCCAGTTACAAGTAAGCTAACAGCAAGCTAAGCCCATGAGCTAGTTAACCTGAATTATTTACTTCAGCTTCGAAAAAAGGTGATGTATTCTTGGTACATAATGAGGAATTAAGGGACAGCTGGATATGGGTGACATTCTTGGTACATAATGAATTGGTGGACGGCTGGATATGGGTGACATTCTTGGTACATAATGAATTGGTGGACGGCTGGATATAGGTGGCATCTCTTACAACTAAAGAGAGTGGCATTGTGTACTAGGAGCTGGTCATAGATCTGGTAAGAATCTTTTGCATTTTTAATATAGATTTAGTAAGTATCTTCATGTTTACAAATTTAAGATTTTCTGTGTTTAATTATACATAATAGGCCTTCTTTGCGCCTGCACGCTAAACTGAAGCTAAGCAGTAATGGCCTTTATAACAGATGCAATTGAACTTAGTAGTGTCCATTTGACCTTACATTTAACCTTCATTTGGAGAATTTATCCAGATTGCACATCAAATGAAGAAATCAGAAATTCAAGCAAAAAGAAAATGTTGCTGTTATTGAATAGAAAGACCAGACTATGGTTGGAACATTTAACTATAATTTTTTCAGCTTGTAAACATGGGAACAGGAGGAACATTAATGGGTTTATAGCAAGGATGTCATTTATACAGTTATGAAAACTGGTCTGTACATCAGGCATCTTAGACTGGGTTCCCATACTTAGATTGATCCATCTGGATTGACCTTACTCCCTGGGGGTTCACACTAAATTGCTATCAGCTCAAAAGATAATTGCCCCCTAGCAGCTTTACTAGGCGTGACATACATTTAAGCCAGCCAAGTTGACAGCATTTTAGTGAGACCCCCCAGGGAGATAGATCGATCCAAATATCTGTGGGAATGGTTCCTTAAACTCTTATTGCTTTTCTGGTTTTTCTCTGAATCGCTCATTTTACTGTTGTATGCTAAAACCTCAACTTGTCAAATGTTTCTTGTTGAAGGAAGCACAATGTTTTTCTTTTGATATTAAGAAAGGCAGTCATGATCTTGTGGAAAATAATCTTTGGTTTCATCCAGGTATTGCAAAACAAGAGGTTTCCCAGAAAAAGAAAAGACATCAAAATTCCAGTAATTTTCATAATTAAAATAATATATTTATGTTTAGTAATATATTTTGATCAAATGAGTCTGATAAATTGTTTTGATGTCATCTGTTTTACATCTGGTTCTGGTAGTTTTCTGGTCAGACCAAGTGAAATGGCACCTGGAGACTTCACACTCTATTTTTATGTTGAAATCAAATTCAGAATTAAAAATATCTAGAAAAAGAAGGGAGCCAGTTTGCCTTAGGAGGAGGATATTTTGAAAGGTATGCTTCTAATATGTTTTCTGGTGTGTCGATGAAAGTCCAAATACCACCGTGACAAGAGTTTCAAAAAGTACTTTGTCTCCTCAGTCTGAAAAAAAAACAAAAAAAACAGTGCTTATACATTCCAACAAGAAATATAAATGCCGATTTTTTGTTTTTGAAGGTTATTTGTTGTTTTAAATCAGCGCAAAGATAGATGCATTATTGAAGATGCACGAAAAACCACATTTTCGTTATCTGGATGATAATAAAGGGTTACCATATCCTTCAATTTCTCCCTCCACCTAACAGTTCAAGCTGGCTTATAAGCAATTTATTTTCAAAATCTTGAAATGTGGTTTGCCAATCTGCATCCTTCTCAGGTTTTCATTATTTTATGTCAAATTACTTCTCTGGAACCCTTCAGGCATATTAGGACCTGAAATTTTATAAATTGAATTATGTGTCACATTCAATTTTTGTGACATCAGCATATGTATATATATATAATATTTTGTGATATTTTTGAATTATTTTGTACTGGAAAGACAAAAGGGTAGGATGGCTTCATTAAATGGTGATTCTGATGCTTCTTGTTGTTTTAGTATAAGGGCCATAACAGGTAGGTACAAAAAAGAGGAAATCGTTGAAGTGGACACGTTAGGAGATCCTGTTCTACAGGTAAGATATCATGAAAGATTTGTAATATTTGTCAAGATTTAATTAATCATTAGACAAAGAATATATATGCACACATATTTATCATCCATATGACCAAAAAACTTCAGACATATTTTGTGATTGTTTGAAAATGTCATCAATGGTGTTAATGCTCTGGAAAAGAAGAGATAAATTAATGATGCACAAAGGAAACGTGGTCTTTATAGAGGTCACTTTTATTTTTTTATGTCAACTTCGTCTTAAAGAAACCTGTATAGAGATAGTTTCATGTGGTCATCACCTGCATCTTTCGTTGCTGTCAGCATTGCCTTCGTTGCCATGTGCTTTTTACCCATAAACACCATTGAAGGAAAAATGTGTTACATATTATTCTCAAACTTGCAAGAATGATTCACTAAACTTTTTAGTGTAAAAAACTTTAAAAACAAGAATTATTCACTGAACTAATACAAAAAAAAAGTCTGATTGGTTCACTGATTGACTTTTTCTGATTGGTTTCTTTTTGCTTGAATGTAATGCATATGTAATGCATTCAAAGCCTGCTAGGATTAGTTAATTTTTCTTGAAGTTGTTAAGTTTTTTTGGAATTTTTCATTTTTCACTTTTACCACTTTCCAGGTGTGACTTTGAGTTAACATGGGTCTGAAACCCTTTTCTTGATCTCCACAGTAAAAATTGTATATAATGTACTATTGCATCAAAACTGACAAAAAACTGGTACTGTCATTGTTACCTTTATTGGGTTTTCATCATTTTCACTCTGTCACAAGACCAATGCTTAATAAGATTTATCATTTATATGTCTGCCCTTTTGCCATCTTTGCTGCTTTGTTTTTGTTTTTGAAATTCATAATCATCTTTCGCTATTGTAACCCTCGCAATTAAATATTGGGCATAGTTTGTTGCAGTGATGTAATGGTTACAGAAAACTTTGTTGTTAAAAATACAGTTGTAATAAGTGTGCCCATTAAGCTTTAAGAAATATTTTCATTCTTTTGATTGAAGATTTGTTAAAAAATTACAGAATGCAACAGAAGATGATGAATGTATCTATGAACTGGATACAGATGAAACAGATGCAAGAACAAGACAGTTCTATCCTGCAGTTTGGCAGATGCCAAGTACCAGTAGTGGGTCAAATTTTCTCATCAACAGAAATGATCACATTGTCCTGAAAGGATTTTTGAACAAAAAAAGTAAGTCTCTTAATGTCTTCAGAATCGCTTGAAATTGATATTATATTAGTAAGAAATTTATTTATTAATAACAATCGTAAGGCTGTAGGTACCTTGAAATATTTACAAAATTACTACTACTAAATACGAGTGACTGAAAATATAGATATGTGTTCACCACAACCTGTTTTTGGTGGCGCAGCGCCACCTTATCTCGATGCTGCGCCACCTGATGCGAGCCTGCGCCACCTAATGTGATTGGACCGCTACCTTATATTTCAAGCATTGAGAAGATCTTAATAATATTTTCTGGTAGAAATATAAGATATTAAACTTCATTTTGTATAAGTCGACTGTCGTTTTTGCATCAGTTCAACGCGCTGTCAATTAAACACTGCGGCCGGCAGTAGCCGGGCAGTCTGGAGCCGTAGCAATAGTCCGAAGGTTCATTGGTCCGAATATTCACTCTAGAACCTTCGGACCAATGAACCCTTGATTAAAAAATCGATGAAAATGTTACCACTTTTCGGACCAATGAACCTTCGGACCAATGAACCTTCGGACTATCGAGACGCCCCCGTCTCGGAACAGTTTACCCGTAATGCGTTTTTCGTGAGAACGTATTATGCGAGCGTCAGGTTTCATTCCGGCAACTCTACCTCTCCGACACAGATACCACAAGATACTCAGTTTTTCTCATTAGAATCTCATACAGTGGATTTACAGACCTGGGAATAGTCAATTAGAAATAAAGTATATAATCATAACAAGCACAAGCGAATACGGCACTTACTAGAACACTTAAGGCTACTGTACCGTTCACCTCCCGGTAAAACGAATTTATTACTGCTAAAACAATAATCAAAGGGAATTATTCCCATTTTTCCAAAAGTCTGAAGAATGAAAAGCCTACTACTAGTATATGAAACTTTCAAAGAAATCTGCTGACTTCTACCAACTATAACTACAAAAGTACCTTTAAATGTAGACGTTATATTAGCATGGCGTCGTTTTTAATGGTGCGGAGATTCACCTTCAACAGACAAAATCATGGAAGCGCCCAAAACAACAGGTGAGATAAAGGCTTTGGAACCAGTAGCCTAATTTCGAAGGGACATTTACGCTCTTCGTTTGTGTAAGCGTGGCTTCGGCATGAACCAGGGGAAGGTAAGTTTACTACAAAATTTGTGGTTATAAAATTTCAGATATTTCGTCGTATCTTAATTGTGTCATTACTCGCAGAAATCTAAACACAGGTAGAAGATAACATTAAAACAAAACACTTTAGCAATTAATGTTGTTTTTAATTCAGTAGTATATCTCTCGTAATGCTGATAGAAATGTGTGATGAAAAACGTGGTGTAATCACGTAGACAGTTTTATCTAGATTTAACTAGTTTCAGTCATGTGCTCTTGTTTGTGACAAGTAGTCATGCTTTGCGAAGCTTTGCAATAGGCTGAATCTGCCACGTGTTCTTATTAGTCCCGCCTTTATACCTTTTAGGGCGCTGGCAATCACGTACACACAGTATGATGTAGGCCTACTCTGTACATCGTCAAATGGGAGCACTGAGTCGTTATCCCCGGGTGTGATCTGTGATTGATATTTTAGAAGAATAAAAGAAGCTACATCGAGACTTTTGAACAGATTGTGCATAAAAATATCAATAAAATATTTTAATAAGGTATAAGTGCACTCACAAACGTCTATACAGTGTATCAGTGTCAACACAGAGGGGCTGGGAGGGGGGCATACGACGACTTACATGTATATGCGTCCGACGGAAGATCGTTACGTCGTTAAGGGACGGATGTACCCAAATATAGCTAAAAATTGGTTTTTTATGTCTAATTATTGGTTAAATGTGTATCTAACGTTTAACAGAATAAATTTTTTACAATTTGAACAAAAAGGAGGATTCTGATGCTGCACACATCGGCACCGGTGGCCTGGTCTATGCCCCGCCTTCGTTGTCAAGGGCCGTTGGCATGGGTAAACTCGGTGGGCGGACCTTAGCAGCATCAGCACGTCTAGAGAAACAATAGAACAGGGATGCGCCATGCCCCCTTTGTCATAAACAGCGATCGGCAAAGCAGTGCCTATTGTTCCGCTTAAGCTGTTTTGATAGTCACTCTTGATTGTGATCAGCGCTAAGATGAATCTTTTCCGACACATTGGATTTTCTCGAAATACGCGTTCTCCCTTGAATATTGCTTGTTGTTACACGCGCTCTTTCGATTTTCTTGTTAACTTTTTGAGATACGCAAAAAAAGAAGAAAATTCCGTTGCTTGCTTCCCGTGACAATAATCGTCATACTTTCTATCCATTTCTCCCCCCCCCCCCTCCGTCTTGCATACTGTTATTGAACTGAGGTAAACAATGCCTGAAACCTTAACAAGTTTTATCTTAATCATCCATCTAACTGGAACTTCCTTTACCTCTTAATTGGAGGGTTCAGTGGCCCACAACTCTCCTGAAGCCTCGCTGGCGATATTTAGCTCAGGTAAAAATCTACCCGAGTGTTATTTTCAGAGCATCTCCCGCAACCCTCAGGGCACTAGATAAAATCTGGACACCAGGTTTTCTAAGGAGCTAGAGAAACAAAGCAAGGATTTTTCCTGCAAAGCGTCAAAGAATTTTGACACGGACTTGACCCAGCTTACCCCTCCAAACTAACAGGGTGACATGGGCATTTTTTACAAACAAATAATAAAACTTAGATGTATCAGAGCTCTGTCGTGTCGTACGGTTGGTTGTTTTGGGGAGCCATGCATCCACATGTAAGGTGAATGAACATGTATGTTAGTTCAACTCAGAGGCGGATCCAGGATTATTCGAAGGGGGTTCCACGTATGCGAAGCTAGCCTCCTTTTAAATAAATATACCGTTCTGGGTAATAAGTATATTGAAACTTTTTTAATTGCGAGAATATTTCTGACTAAATGATGTTTTTATTATTAATGGAAATTAAGCTGCGATGTGTGGTACATATGCTGTGATTACGCTGTCCTTCATCTCTTGCGTTAGTCTACATTTTGCTGGGAATTTTAAAAATCTGTGCGTACAATTTTTAAAGGTCTGGTTAAGCCCCTGAATCTATGCAACTTGGGCAATTCGGCCTAGCATCGAGGCGCAACTAGTCCCTAGCCCTCTCTTAATTATTTCTGCTTACCATTGATCATCGGAAAATCAACAATGATATTATTTAACCTTTCCACCTGAGACACAGTTAACGCAAGTGTCAAGATGACATCAAGCTCTAGTTTTGCTAGCATACTATACTAATTTTCTGCTTATCTGCAATCATTTATTTGTGCATCACCTAAAGTTAAATACCTTGATTTCGGCTTATTTGCAACTTAGACATTTCCTCTAACAAAGCCTGTCTATTTCTTGTTGTTGATGGTGCGATCGGCGTCCTGTAACACGACCGTGTTTTCAAACCATTTTTCGCTTGGCGAATGTGGACAAGACCGCCTGCGATGCTGCTATTGTGTGCACATCCTAGAGCGCATCCCTTAACCTTTCCCCGACGGCAATTGACGTGGCCACTGATTGCTTGAGTCAGTAGGGCTTACTGTCAATCATTCTGGCAGTGCTAGCGGTAACCCCTTGAAGTTACTAACAGGAGGTGAGATTGATACAAAAATAAGATTTTCTGACATCCAAATACATGCAAACAAGCTAATTTCAACCGGTAGTAGAGTACCCATCTTCGCGATCGTCAGAACGATAACAGGTAAAGCTGTCAACAATTTAATTTGCTAATTTGGACAATTAACCTCCCTGAAAGGATTTTTGCTCGTTTCCTTTGCTTTCAATATTGACGAGATAGCGTTATCTTAGCAAGCTATAAATGTCTACCTGTACACCTCAGGGAGACCAAATTCACCATGCTAATCATGAAAAGTATGCACTAAAAGTGCTTTTTAAGAAATTTTGATTGATCCCCTTTTTTCTAATTTATAGACTTTGAAAGTGAAAATTCCCTTATATTTTGATGTAATTTCACGTTTTTATAGATAAAATCAACAATAAGTGTCTAAAGAAAAATCCCTGACTCCATCCTGTAGTACTTTGTTCAAGTGTTATAATGCCATTAAAAGCAAGTTTATAGCTGTCCATATGCCTTAGAAAGTCAGGTGTATAAAAATGGTGTTTTTGTCCCCAAAATCCAAATATTACGTCACACGATGAAGTTGGAGCTGTGTTCCAAGCATAATTAGATATTTTGAAGATACATTAAATGAATGTGACAAGAATAAAAAAGCCAAGACCTTTATTTTAAGAGAAAATCTCAAACCTACATTCCCACCTTAAATTGTATCGCTAATTGCATATAGTTAATGTTTAGAGAAATGCAAGTTTTCGGGTGTGCTTTGTGTGTTGCTTATCTTGCAAAGTTAGTTTTTAGTTATTATCATTATTGTATTTTCTTTCTTTTTCGCCGCAGCTGGCATCAGATCATTACCAAGCAATCATAGACCAGAACGGCTTTATGGCACGGGGACCACAGTTGTCTCAACCCTGCCAGATGAATAAAAATTTGCAGTATGTATTAAATTTTATCACTGACCATACAGACCCCTTTGTTATGTTGACTCAGCTTTCTAAAAGGAACCTGGTTTGCCAATATCAGCCGCACACCGACTGAAAGTAAGAAAAAATCGGATTCATTTTTGACGTAAATGTGCTTTATATATGTCATATTTTCATTACTACTAGTAATTAAGTGGATGATACGGGTTAGATAAATACTAGTTATATCATTTGCAATGACTACACAACTGGTTTAATAGATTACAATGATTTGATATTTCAGACTGTGAGAGAATGTTCTGAAATTTTCTGTGGTCCAAAAGATGGAGACCAGGCTGAGAAACACCAAGTCGGGAGACTCTCCTGCCAGTTTCAACTGAAGGTTTATCTCTGAAAGAACTTATTTGCACTGAAGCAGCAATGCTATGGTCTCAATGAGGAAATAGAAAGATCTCTTTGGATGCTTAACATTGTCTGTCATTTTATTTTATCTTATTTATAGATCTGCTACTTTCTTAGAGATTAATTTTCCAATATTGTTTCAGTATAGTGTTGAGTGTTTTGCTTAAAAAAATTGAGTATTATGATGTGCTAATTTGGAATTTTAGTGTTTCTTTAAGAATTCATCAATTGTTGCTTGTATATGCAGAGTGTAAACTGAATCAAACACTGTGTGATTATTCAGAACTATGTGTTTTTGTATACAGACCTGGATGATCCTATGGTAATTTAAAACCGAAAAAGTTGCTCTATACTATGTATGATAAGCAGAACAATTCTCCATGATCACGTCACTGTAACCCTTCAAACTTTTTCAATATCCTGTTCAATGCCTTGTATTTCAGGCAAATTGAAAAATAAAAGTGGTCCAGTTGTAATCCTTCTTAGTCTGTCTTTACTCTTGGAGACTTGAGTCTTATATTTCTGATTAAATGACAAAACATAAAAGGGATTTTCCCACACTTGCTACAATATTCCAATAAGAAACATTTTTTCTCTCTGCAAGTTCTTCAATGACATTTATTTCATGCAATTCAATCTGATGGATTTAATATGTATTGCCGTCTTAAATTAGTAATTTTTGGTAATACCACGGTCTTTTAAAAAATGACACTGCATAGGGACCTCAAATTCTCTTTTAAAAATGGGCAGTGAAAATGGATTTCCAAATAATTTAACTAATAAGTAAATAATTTAATTTTGGCATCTAAAATTGCTTAAAATACATGAAATTGCACCATTTTTTCAAAATTTTCCCTGGGAAGCATGCCCCTGGACCCCCCCTAGCATTGCTAGGACCCACACCAAAATTATTCTCCCCCACCTTATAATTTTGACTTGTGGAGAAACCTGTTAATAGTTATATTTTTACAAAAAGTCCTGTTCAGAATCATGGAAAGGGAAAAGGTTATGTTACATGCAATGATTGTAAAATTGAATTCTTTTTACCTAGAATAATCTCAGTTATTGTTTTAACAAAAGATCAAGGGATCTTTCTCATGATATGCTAGTGTTGACGGATATCTTCTTTGCACATTCATTATGGGTCTTTTTTTTTTTTTTTTTTTTTTTTTTGACACACAAACGTGGTTTTGCAGAGCAGGATTCTTCCCTTGCCAAAATGTCTCGTAAAAAATTTGAATGGACACTCCACGCCCAAACATTTTACACATTCCATAAGCATCCAAGGCCCCATTCAGAATAGGGGACCAACTAGTCTGAGGGTCAAATATGGCGACCCACTACAAAACTGGCTGTCTAATCCACTTACAGAAACTGAATAAATATCCCATGGGTTGGGCATATTTGACCCTCGGACTAGTTAGTCCCCTATTTTGAATGGGGCCAAAGATAACCCTTTTCCCATCCAACCACTGATGGTGCTATTCATTTGTGTGTGTAAACATTTTCCAGTATCTTACAAGAACTTACAAGTTCATATTTAAACACAAAGGATGAGTGAAAAATATTAAAATTACAATTTTTGACTAAAGCAAGGCATTATACCATCATAAGGAAAGATATCTATTGTACCTTGTAAGCAGTTTTTTTTTTCAGTGAGTCAAGTTAAATGATGAGATGCCTTTACATTTGCAGGTGAAAGGGGAAACAAATGGGAAAATATGCACTTTGTACTGAATGGGACCAAGCAGCAGCTGTACTTTTTCGAAAATGATAAGGTACAAAGATCTAAAAATTCCTATTGTCTTAAGTGTTTTCTTTCTTGGGAATCCAACGTTGCATTTCACTTTTTCATGTTCCAATTTTATTGTTGTTTTGAAGGGTAAATGAATTCAAATTACTGAGTAGGCTAGGTTTTGAGGTAATTTGCCATTGGATCGTGTAATTATATACCCAGATTTACTGTTACAGCGCTCCAAACCAAAAGGTCTGATAGACCTACATTCCAGCTCCCTCTACCCAGTTCGTGACAGTTTATTTGGAAGGTAAGAATCCGTTCTAAAAGAGATGTAATCTAACCATAATTTTCCATACGTTAATTTATTCATTTATTTTTATTATTATTATTTTGTTATTTTTTATTGATATTGTCATTTATCTAACTAGTATTAATACCTGCAAGTTGATAGAGTTGACATTTTTTGTTGTGTTCTAGTATTAACACAATCTGTCAGTGCACACTTTCCAGTTTAATTCAGTTGACTTTTATGTACGTGTGTTTTGTTTCTATCTTTTTTTTTTTTTTTCCGCAGGCCCAGCTGTTTTCAGCTGGTGGTTAGAGCCTTAAACGAGTTTTTAGTCCATTATTTGTGTGCTGAAAATGCTGATGCTGCACGGGTAATATTATTTTCTGTTATTTCCTTGCCTTGACTCAAGTGATATTTGGTGAGTCTATTAAATATTTCAAATTTAATCTCAGATTACCAACACTTATGGTTAGACCACGGTTAGGATTTTTATATATCACATAAAAATTAGAAGCAACACTGGGAGCCCAAATTAGCTTTGGAAATTGCTAGCCAATGTTCCATTGTGTAGCAACAATTTACACAAAACAATTAGAAACTACATAGGTTTATTGTCATAAAATGATAAGTGTTATATATATATATATATATATATATATATATATATATATATATATATATATGTTTGTTTAATCCTAACCCAAACAGATTTTTATTTGATTGTTCAATGTTGTCTATCAGAATATGTTATTGGAATGAAGAAAACCTGTCCATATACTGAATAAAATATGGAGTTTAGCATCATAAGGCTCATTAACACAATGATGAATGTTTACAATATTTCTGATGAAATTTTTTAAAAATTAATTAATGTAGGCCCATTCAATTAATTAGTTTTTTTTTCACCATAGGAATGGGTGCAGGCTCTGAAACTGTACTGTATCAACACCACTCCTGCGAAAAGTTCCTTAAGACATCTGTTAAGTTTGAACATTCACGTATTCGATGCCCATCATCTTCCCGTAAAAAGCGTGCCTTATCCCTACTGCACAATTTCAATAAATGAGGTGAAAGTTTGCCGCACAGAGGCAAAAGAGGCACCAAATCCAGTTTGGGAAGATGACTTTGTTTTGGAGTAAGTATCAAGTATGAAAAGTATGGATTTCATGTGCAGTTTAGTTTGTAATATATATATATATATATATATATATGGAGTAAGTATCAAGTATGAAAAGTATGGATTTCATGTGCAGTTTAGTTTGTAATATATATATATATATTCGAGTAAAAAAAGGATCCTATCGAAAATCAGATTATTTTTTTGATAACTGTTCAATTTTTTTTTATTTGGTGGTCTTTTTATGTATTTTGGAGACATTCTTCCTTTAATTACCAAGCCATTTTTTTGTTTGTTTGTTTCATTTCAAATTTCACTGAGTGACTTTGTTTATTAAAAAGGAAGGTTCCTTTAAAATTAACAATATTGAATTATTTATTTATTTATTTATAATAAAAATGTTTATTTGTTTTTTCTCTATTGTGGCTGTATATTCTCCAGCAGTTTCACAAGCTTATTTGTACCACCTGCGAGAGTGCTGGGGTTAAATGTGGCTTTACCTGGTACTAGTTTCTAAAGATTTCAATTTAAGCATGTCCTTTCAGGGACATTCCTCAAGATGTCTGTAGCTTTACTGTCATTGTTCACAATAAGGGAATAAGGTCCAAAGATACAGAAGTTTGTAAGTAGAATTAATTATGTTCTTAGGAAATCATAAAGAATACCATTAATGAGGCTTTTCTATAATTAATTGCTTAATTTTCTGAATTTTCTCTTGGATTTATACTGGCATTTAGATGAGTATAAAAACACGATAGCTTCATTCTCTAATGAAGAGAGCTGTAATAACTAAGTTATAGCTGTGTAGCTCAAACTGTCATTATCCCTTTGAGTGTATGACACAGCTGATGAAATTCTATGCTACTTTGTAAATGTATTGTAGTGTTCAAGACTGTCTTATTGAATGAGGTGAACCAGGGTGAGTGCAGGGAGGAGTGGTACTGCCTGTCCCCCACATCAGTCCAGGCATTTCAGGCAGTCAAAGGCAGGAAGGAGAAAATGGGATCAATTCGAGTCAAATGGAAATTCTTGCATGAGATGATCATGCCAATCAATGAATACTCTAGCCTGAAGGAGGTGAGACCTGTATGATCTGTCAGGGACTGGTTTCTCCAGAAAAAAAAAAATGTCACCAGAAATTTTGTCTTGAGTTTTAGATTCAAATGTCTTTTTTTTTTTATGTACAGACACAGATGTGTCTGTACATATAGCCATCATCTGCGTCTGTCGTCGCCGTCGCGTCGTCGCCGTCCCCGTCGTNGTCAGGGACTGGTTTCTCCAGAAAAAAAAAAATGTCACCAGAAATTTTGTCTTGAGTTTTAGATTCAAATGTCTTTTTTTTTTTCTTACCAGATTTAAATCTGTGATAGCCTTATTGACTGGAATATTATGCCTGTTTTATAACAGGAAAGATGAATGACTTGTGTTTCAAACCAATACTTAATTTAAGCGGACTGCTATGGTGTTATCTTGAAATAAAAAAGACTACATTTTTGAGTAAGTTTAGACCAATTTTATGGACCAAAGTAACAGTTTTTTTTATTTTTATTTATTTATTTATTTATTTATTTATTTATTTAGTATTGTGAAATCAGTCCCATGCTTGTGTAATGCCGGCTCAGTCTTAACCACTGACTTTAAAAAATATATATTACCTTAATGAAGAATGAGTGTAAGCCTAGGGTAAATTATTCACATGAGTTCCTTCTCTCTTAAATAATAGAAATTTGTTTTCTCTGAGAAAGGTTGAGTATTGATAACAGGCCCGTAGCCAGGGGGGGTTCGGGGGGTTCGAAAGAACCGCCCCTTTTGCTGGGAAAAGGTCCACTCTGGGTAAAATTTGATCTAGACACATTAAGTTTTTATGGAAAAAGGTCCACTTTTTCAGAAAAAGAACCCCCCTTTTGAAATTGCTGGCTACAGGCCTGGATAATAAAACTCCTGGAATGTTAGAATACATGCAGTGTGAACAAAAAATCATTCCCTTTGTTTCAGCTGCTGATAGCCAAAGACTTGGAGGCTGTGAAGGCATTAACTCAAGTTTGCGGAAATGATAGGATTCTGCTGGCCAAATCCTTAATAAATATCTTTCGCACAGAGAAACAGGAGGCTCATCTTATTCGCACAATGAATGACAGGGAAATTGATGAAGAATGTAAGTTACGGCTTTTAAAACTTTAAAAAATAAACAGAGAGAATTTACTGAAAGATTCCATGGAAAGTTCCATGAAAATTGCTGGTGACAGACTGTAAACTTACATAAAAGCTAAAAAAAATTCTGTAAACGGTAAATGAAATTTCCTTGCAACCACAGATGATCTTTAACTATATCATAGCTCCCAATTCAATTTCCTTATATCTGAGCTTTAAATTCATTTGCCTGATATCTGACCTTAAAATTCAGTAATTTGACACGACAGAAAAGTTATGAAACTCATAACAAAGGATATAGTGCCTTGATTTATATCAAGGTTTGGACATGCTCTGACTTCAACCTTAATTTGATTTTTATTTTATAAGAAACTTAATCGCGATTCTTATGTTCTACAGGTACTGTATCAAATTTGTTCCGTGCAACTTCCTTTGCTACCACGCTGATGGATCAGTATATGAAGATGGTTGCTACAGACTTCGTGCGTCATGCTACTAACTCATTTGTTATGAAAGTTATAGAGTCAAGGCAATCTTGTGAGGTATAAAAAGACTAGCAATTATGATCTGATAGCTTTTTGTTGAATTTTAATACCAGTTGTTTTTGATACTTTGTTGCATATCAGAGAAATGAAGGATTAAAAAAATTTTTTTTTTTTTTTTTATCGGCAGACACTTGGTTTTTGGATGTATAGCAGTCAGCTGGTTATTGATGGCAACATGCACTATACACATTAATACATTCAAAGGAAAACTCCTTTTTTACTATAATATTTTTCAGTTTTTGTGGATTTCCTTAGCCAATACAATAATAGGAAAACCCATGTTTTTTTCTATTATTCTCAAACTTACAAGAGTGATTCTTAGTGTTTAAATGCTACAGCTAGAGTTCAAAAACTAGCTTAATTGAATTATTTTTATTGCTTCAATATGCTGTATACTAAACAGGGGCGGATTGAGGCAGTCTTCTGGGTCTTCCGGAAGACGGTCAAATTTCTAAGTTTACATTGATAAGTACCTAATTTTTTTTGTCGGAAGACGGTCAAAAAAGGGGGGTTGAACAACAATTATAATGTGGAAGACAGTCAGAAAATATTTCTGGATCCGCCCCTGCTAAAGGAATTCCTTCCATGCTTTCCATTTTCAGCTCAATCCAACCCTTCTTGACAACCCAGCAGATGCTACTGCCAATAGGGAACACCTCTTATCTGTGCTTGAAGATGTTGTTCGAAATATTTTCATGTCAACAGACAAGTGTCCTTTGTAAGTAAGGGGGTGTTTCGGTAGTCTGACGATTCATTGGTTCGAAGGTTCATTGCTCTGAAAAATCTTGGCATTTTCATCAGATTTTAATCAAGGGTTCTTTGGTCCGAAGGTTCTGTAGTGAGCATTCGGACCAATGAACCTTTGGACTATTGCTACAGACCCGTAAGTAATATTGAAATAGTGCTTTTTGCTGATGCACCCGTTGTACCCTAAGTGCAGAGCTGAAGGTAGCTTGGATTTACACCTGTTTATGATAAACAGTTACAGCAGGTAATCAAATTGCTGTTGCTCTGAAAATGCCTCTGTATCTATTTTCTTTCTGTCGAAAGATAGTCAAAAAATGGAGGATGGATCAACAAAGATAATGTGGTAGACTGTCAGAAAATATCTCTGGATCAACCCCTGAGCTATGCCTCTCAATTAAAATGTTGATTATTCTGATGTGACATTAGAAATTTAAAGAAAGCTAAGTACCGAAAAATAAAGCCAATTGTAAATACTTAAAATATTCTTCTAGGGTGCTTCGATATATCTGCGGATGCTTGCAGAAAAAAGTCATATCCAAATGGCCAGAAGATGAAACAGTTAAGACAAGAGTAGTTAGGTAGGCAACTTGTCCAACTATTTTTTCACAATGATAAAATAAATTTAGAATACATTTTGTTACTTTGTAAAAAGGAAATTATTATTGTATCGTTAAAGAAACTATTCTTAAGTATGCATGGATGTACCTGGTTTTGAAATGAAACTGGACACTAATTAGCAGTGAATCAATATCAGAACTACTTCATTGTTTTCAGCTTTGTAAATTAAAACTCTGTGATATTTATAAATCATAAAATCTGCATATTTTGTGACACGAGTCATTGCTCCTCTTCCCAGTGCAAGGTATATTATTTAAATGAATTTGAATTTGTTTCTAGTGCTTTCATTTTCCTGAGGTTGTTGTGTCCAGCATTACTTAATCCCAAGTGTTATAACATTATATCAGGTAGGATTAAAAAACACAGAGATTCGGGCTTATAAAAACTTTATTCATACATAACTATTTCCTAAGGTATATGAGTACTTAAAATGAAAACCAAAACATATCACAATCTTAATATCCGGATTATTCAAGATATTCCCAGAGAAGGTTCAGTAATAGAATACTAACAATTACATCTGTGTTGTAATTGTCCCCTAACGATAACATCTATGTTGTAATTGTAATTCTCATTGGGTGGGAGGGAGGGAAAGCAATAAAATTCGCTGGTTATTAATACGTTCGAGAAAGTTTCATGACGCTCTGTACTGCTGCGTCGCTGCGGTCTCAACTGACATCCCTTCTTATTTGAAAAAGGGGGCTGAAGTTAAGGCTTGTTGCTATTGGTCTATTGTCTTAATTAGTTACGCAAGTGGATGATCATCCCAAGTGTTTTAACTTTATATCAGGTAGGATTTTGTTTCATTGGCCAAGCTTGAACCCTTGAACCCTTGACATATCACTCAGTGTTTTCGGAGTTTAAAATAACCCATTTCTAATGAGAATTACAGATTATTTGTATGTGTATTTTGTGGAGAAAAGACTTGGCCAATGAGTTATTAAATCTATTATATCAGATAGGATTTCTTTTTAAAAAAATTATTTACTTCCTTGTTCTTTTGTGGCCACTAACACATAATCACTTAATGTTTCGGGGGTTACAGGATAGAATAAAAACCTTTTCTATTAAAAATGACAGATTTTTGTGAAGAGAAAATGGTTTTAAGAAAAAGCTTGACTTGGGCCATATAATTTATTTTGCATAATGAAGAAACTCCTTCAGAAATGGCAGCAAGAAGTTTAAAACTGGTGGCAAAGTCCCTGCAGAATCTAGCAAATTTAGTGGAATTTGGTGCAAAGGTAACACAACTAATAGAACTCTTTTAGATGCATTAATGATGTTGGATATTTTTCTGAAGATTGTACAACAAGAAGTATTTTATTCCATCAAGCAATATAGTAAGGAAAAAAAATAACAATTGCATTTGCTGAAGTTTAAGTGCACTCTGTACATGCTTTCATAAAATGGCACTTTTTTTAAATATTATAATGCTTTTCTTAAAATAATGTGTTGCCTGTAAAATTTTCTATTTTCCAGGAGCCTTTCATGGAAGTACTTAATTCTTTTATCCTTGAAAACAAGCAAAGAATGGTCTTGTTTCTGGATGAATTGTCTGTAAGTGTTAGTTAGGTAATAATATTTTTAAGTATAAAAGTGATAACAGAAGAAAATGCTATAATAATTACAGTTTTGCAATGAACATGTTTTTAGCCAAATGTTTTGCCACAGGCGTGTTAAGCATATTAGGGACCATTCCCACAGACATTTGAATCGATCTATCTCCATGGGGAGTCTCATTAAATTGCTATCAACTTAACCGGCTTAAATGTCTGTCACCATGCAGATGGATCGATCTAGGCATGGGAACCCAGTTTTAAAAAAGGTGTAAAGCCTGACTATACAACACAGTGCAAAATACACCCTTAGCTAACATTCAGAGAAATATCCCCCTTTCTGGCAGAGTGGAACAAGTGGTTTTACAAAGCATTTTATAACTTTAAAAAAAATAAAAAAATTTCACTCACTAAGTAAAGTTGAAACAGCCCAGGGGGTGACTTTTAAATGTAACATGAGGAAATAGCATGCTTATAATGTGGCTTTTGACGTTACCAGTTAAATTACCACATGTAATTTCTTGTTATGACACTGTACTGGAAACTTTTGAAGTGCAACCTTCGATTTTATTATTCAAATCTCAATAATAGGAAAAACAACTTACTCCTAAGTCTCTATAATTATCTTTGGATTTTGCGTTAGGTTTCAGGATATTCCAAATACATCATTCATACAGCAAAGACTTTTCATATAATTCTGTATTCTCAATGTTTGTGTGATAAAATTTCAAAAATTAATTTTTGATATATTTTAACAATAAATATCAAGATTTTCTAGATTCATCAATTACACAAGAAAGAGGCATATCATGTACATGCAAATCTTTATATATTTCTATTGCATTTGGATGTTTTTGCTTTAAATATCAGAATGTCCCTGAGTACCCTGAAGTAGAAGACTACCAAGTAGCAAACATTGGAAGGGACTTGGCTAATGTGCATCAGATATGCTCTTCCCGTGCTGAGGAGCTTCGGGCATTAGACCAGGCACAGGCAGCACAGGGGGATCAGAGGGACCAGAAGAAACAGGTAGGCCGCCTCAAATGATGTTCAAAGACCCCTAGACTCTTTAATAGCAAATTTTCTTGGAAATTTCTTTTTTTTTTCAATTACCAAATGTATCTCTATGTATCTCTATGTATCTCTAATGTTCTCTATTCAGAAACCCTTGACCTAATCTATAAATATACTCTGTTCAAAACTATTGACTTATTTTATATTTAATTTCGAAGCTTTTATTTTATTTTTTTTAGGCAATCTGGTAATGTAGAAGGAGACTTGTAAATTTAGGTTTTATGGGTTGAAATTAGAAATTTTGTCTTCGACCTGTATATAGAACTAAACATCAAACATTTTGGAGATGAATGTATAATTTGCTAACCATTCACAGGTTACCTTTGTGTTTCATGTACTTGTATCTTTGTGTCTTTTGTCCCAGTGTACCTTTTTACTTTTTTAATTGGCGAAAATGAGTTTTTTTTTATCATGCCATTTGTGATCTTAACAGATTTGTGCACTTTACTTCTGTTTCAGCACTCATTAAAAAGACTTGCGGCTGTGACGGATATGCTGACCAAGCATAAGCAGCACTATTTAGGTAATCTTTAATGACACTTTCCATATGAATGGGGTTGTATCATTTAGAGGAAAGCTGTACCTGTCCTTCTGACAAGGTTAAAAGGAAGAGTGAGAATCTGACTTGGTACAGCACATGGGGAGCATCCCTCTCCCTGGTGGAAGATTTAGACCCCATTTCCAGAGATTAGATCGATCTACTTTAGATTGACCTAACTCCCTGGGGGTTCACGCTAAATAGCTGTCAGCCGGGCGGACACGAAAGTTAATTACCCCCTTACAGCTTGTAGTAGGCTGGACGGACATTTAAGCCGGATTATCTGACAGCTAGTGAGACTCCCCGCGGGGATAGATCGATCTAAAAGCTCTGGGAATACAGCCTTAGAGAGGGGTCATGGAGGTCCTGACCCCCCCCCTTCCATTTCTGAAAATCAAATCACACTAATTGTCCCCTCTTGAAATTATAATTTCGACTAGCTGAATCATAGTTGTAAACCGTACCTAATGGCACCATTCGCCCTCTAAAATACCTTTTTTTTTCATGGCCCTTTAGCGTGCTCCGAACCCCACGCAAAGGGTGGGGTGGGGGTAGCTTCGCATCAATTAATGAAAATGAGCAGCTTATGATACTATTAACAATTTAGAGCAAAAGATCCATCAGATGCTGCAATAAGATGAAGTAAATTGTTCATAACATAGCCTGTTTAAACAAAACTTTATGTTAAATCCATTAAATGAATGGTAGTTATTCTTGACCTTTAATAATGAATGCCTATTATTCTTGAAGCATTATCATCAGTAAATTATAGGATTTGAAGTTGACATTATTTTTCATTTATTTATTTATTGCATGATCAATATGCCAGTTGTTGCTGTTATGCCAAATATACTTTAGCAATTCATGTTTTCTTTTTTTCCCTGTTTTACAGAAAATCAAGCTGTCTAAATTGGGTTAGAGAACTGTGAAGTTGCCATAACCAGCCATAACAACTTTGGGTTCAAGATCAAATCATAACTTGTGATGCACTAATTATTACATTGTTTTAAATATGGTTAGACCTTGTTTTATATGTGCATCTCATTATAATTGAAACAAATGAGGCAACTGTAATTGCAGATGGGATTGTGTGTTCTCAACATGCATCGTGGATATTCAATTATTACAGACTGTACACACACACTTGACAACAGAAGTGTCACCCCCTGATCAGCGGAATCAAAGTTATAATGCCTAGTCTACTTATAATGTGATTAATGAGTATAAAACTGCTGTACCATGAAATTGTATTGTTGGTCTTTTTGTGAAATTTGATGTTAATAAAATGATACCAGGAGCACATCATTCCACAGTCATTTATCTCCCCCAAAGTATTAGTTCAGTAGGGGTGACACTTCTATTGTCCAGTGTGAGTAATTTTACTTGGTATTTTTATATAATGTTTACAGGAAGGTGCAAGGTAGTCAATCATTTTAAGCATACCTTAACGTGCAAGGGATGCCGTATTCTACTTAATATGTACTTTTGATGATTTTTAGTATTTACTACTTTCACCCATACTAATGGACACAGGCCTGTAGCCAGCAATTTCAAAAGGGGGGTTCTTTTTCTGAAAAAGTGGACCTTTTTCCATAAAAACTTAATGTGTCTAGATCAAATTTTACCCAGAGTGGACCTTTTCCCAGCAAAAGGGGCGGTTCTTTCGAACCCCCCGAACCCCCCCTGGCTACGGGCCTGGTACAAATCAAAATTATTCTAGTTAACTGGTCAGTGTTGAGTGTGAGGGCTAGTTTAGGTGACTCTCTTACAGGTAATAGCCAGATAGCCAGGCTTTTAACTTGTCAATCTCTTTAACTTTTGTGATAAAGAAAGAAGATGAGAAAAGGGCTTTAGTTGTTATCTATTGTACTTATTGTACTTATACTGCACAGTTTTACTAAACTTGATCAAGCACAGCAACATAAGATGCCCTTAATGTGTTTACTTCATCTATTCTTGTTTGTAAGAAAATGGGAGCATTTTTCTGTATTTGTATCATGTTGTTTTCAATAATGCCAGATACTTAATATTTTGCTTAGGGATGGAACTTTTTGCCCAGATATTTACAATATGGGTGTTCTATGGTATGCAGTGAGTTGTCCTTTAAATAGATGAGCAAAATAAAGAGAGGACAGTTTATGGGATTTGTTTATAGTAGATATCATTTTAATTTTCCAATAAGTTTTGGTAATTCATCAATAGTATCTTAATTTTTTAGAACCCACCAAACAACAGGAAAGAGATAGTCTTCCTTTGACTATGCCTATTTTTCACCTTTAACTGTTTCGATTGCCACATTTGATTGTAATCATAACTGTGAATAACCTATTTTCTGTGTGGTTTACAGGATTTTTCAATGTTGTTAAAGATGTCATCAAGTCCACCAATATGTGTTTATGGTTTACAGTTTCATTTGCATTCCAACTCATAACTGAATTCTGCACAGCCAGTCTCAAGTGGTTATTTATTCAGATTTTATATAGTGTCACCGCATTATGCAAATATATATTTTGTGATCAAGATCAGTTCTGCTTGTTTGTTTTATCGCCCACTTATCAATGAAATTTTCTTTAAAAGCTAACCCATAGCTAACTTAATGCCCCCATGAATGAACACGGATGATTGCTCAGTCAGAGTACGAGTCAATTCATAACATTCACAACTTTCAGAGAAAGAATATTTATTCCTTATGAAGAAGAACTACAGTTCTGAAGTACACTTGTCTTCATTGGGAATTTAAAAACATACAGTAGTAGCTTTGGTAAGATTTTAAAAGAAAACAATGGATATTTGCAGATAAACGGGGGTAGGGATTGCACTGCTGCCACGATTACACAAAAAAATTTGTCAAACTTGTGCAGTTATGTAAATAAAGTTCTTTGCAAAGTTTTCAACCTGACATAATTCTGACATCTACTTGGTACCTTTGAGATGATATAATGTATCAAACTGCTCTGAAACTTGCAGATAATTTGTTTTTTCATGTACCTTCATCCAAAATACCATGAAATTGAGTCCATTTTCCCCACTCATTTGTATGGAAAAAACTACAGAGGGGCATGTTTAATAAACAACTGAATTTGAAAATCGGTTATAGCCAAGTCTGTTTAAACTTTAGTCAACTAAGTTGTGCCACAAAGAATGAGAAAGCCATTTAAGTAAATAAAAACTTTACAATGATTTTTACTCTAAATGATAAAAATGGCTCATAGACAGAGTTCAGCTACACTTAATTTTAGTATGCCATTTGGTATATATGCTCTTACAATAATATCACAAAAATTTGCTTTGCGTAGACAGCTATCCTGTTTTAATAGTGTTAAGTCTAAAACTTCACCTTTTTGTGTGAAACGGGGGTGGCCCCCTGGTAAGTGTGACAATGTCCAATCCATCTGTTCCAGTAAGGGACATTGACTCTACAATAAACATACAATTTATGTCTAAATATATACAGGCAAGTGGAACAAAACTGATCTTAGAAAAAATAAAATCACACCATTAATTTAACAATACAAAAATAGCGCTAACATCTTAAACATAATCACTTTGTACAAAACTGGCTCTCAGAGAGCGCATTCAGAACTGTTACAGTAGACTAACAGATATGCAGACAAAATGTGGCGACACCAACTAAAAAGCTTATCGCTTAATTCAGGATTAGACACCGAATAGATTTCCTGCAGGGATTACGCAACAAGCATTGAAGTGGGTCTGCGATATTTGATCTTTGGATCTGTTAGTCCACTGTTCTGAATGAGTCTAGAGAAACTGTGGCTTTTGCCATGGCCTACCTGATACCAAGCAGCAATGGCAGATCCAGAGGGGGTGGGGGTAGGGGGGTGGGGGGCAGTAAACAAAGTACCCCTCAGTTTCTGATACCCTTTTCTCCTTCCCTCCAAAATGTACAAAACCAAACAAAACCTATTTATTATACTCAAGTCAATGGTTTCATATTGTGAAGCAAGGCAAATTTTTATAAAATGTTTGTATCCCACCCCCACCCCCAGTATCAAACCCTTGGATCAGCCACCACTGCGGAAGAAGTCTGTACAGCATCAAATAATTGCAATATTTGCCCTAAAGCTCCCATGGAAAAACATACAGCAAACATGTTTGATTTTTGTGAGGTCACTTGTACTTGTAAAATTTTCACCCATCTGATGTTGAGCCCGGTCCCCTGGTTTCAAATTAATCTGAGAAAGAAACATTTCGGACTTGAACCCAAACAGAAAGTTTCAAACTCTATGTTAGGAAGTACAAAACGAAAACTGCTTTGCAAAAATGGAAATATTACTGCGTGTTCCAAATTACTAAGGAATTACCATATACATTCTACAAGGTAAGTTGTGAAGAGGATGACATACAAAAGGAAAACAAAGAGCTAAAATAAATAATCTTATGATGGCTTATTACAAACTAAACAATGAAACATAAAGAATTATTGCACAACCATTCTAATGATTCTAAAGACGTTAAACAGAATGTGCTGAAAGGGAGATTGAGGTTGGGGGGAGGGGGTGTGCAAAGGGGTCGCCACAATCCAAATGTGAACATTTATTGCCAAAATTAGGCCACCTTAACCTTACTAAATACTTCGAAAGCATATTTCTTCAGATTGTAACATTGGTAGTAGGATAAAACATCAATCTGGACAGTGAGGGAGTTACACAGTACCTATCAGTTCCATTAGAAAATTTTCTACATCTTAACTGAACCAGGGCTTTTAATATTAATTAAAAATAAAAATAAAAATTTACTTTGCCTTTTATAGTTCCACCATGTTTCCCTGTTGTTTTGAAATTTCACATTATCCAATTTTTAATGAACTGCAATCATGGCACATTAAGAAAATTAAAATAACATTTTAGAAACAAAAAAGGGGGTAAGTGATGCTCTTTTTGAGCAAATTTGGTCAAAAGTTGGCCTTCACTCAAAAAATTTTAATTTAGTGACTTTAGTATAAAAATGGAAGCCATTTACTGCACTTCGTGAAACTGCCTAATTGCTTCATTTCAGTGAATTTAACCGATTCATAGTAGACTGCACTTTTCATCTCAATGGCAACTATCGAATTAGAATGATAGGTTTAACGGAATCCAGTTCCAGGCCCCAGTTTCACTAAAAAACTGAAGTCAGTTCCTTGGCTTAGTTGACTAGGATTTCCATGAGAGTGCTGTTACACTACTCCTGATAGGGTAAGATGTGCCCATGTGACCATGTAACCATGGTAATTAAGTTCTTAGACAAGTTTTTTTGTGAAGCTGGGGCCAGTTTCACTGTTCATCACACAAACATCTCTACATTTAATTTCAGTTTGAATGGTGAAGAGACATTTTTTTGTCCATCATTACCCGCTTCCTTCGGCAGTGAAGTGTAACTTGGTGAAAGAATTGTTCCTTTCCCTCGACCAAGATTTTACAAGCAAACCCTTGTGTCCCAACTTCTTTCTTAAAAATAAGTTGCTGGTATCTATGGATACATCTCAAGTTTCTAAACTGGCTAGCATACTGCAGCATATAAAAAGATTACACTTCTGCTTCTTGGTCACCTACTCTTTTGTTCAAATGATTTTAACATTTTCACTCTCCATAAGAAACCATTTTTGCTTTGTTTTTCTCTTTTTTTTCAGCGAATATAACTCACTGTTGGTCTGCTGCTTTTGCCTTTTTTGGGCAAATAATGTTGTCCTTCAATCAGTTTGCAATAATATACATTGGTTGATTGCTTACTTCAACCTTTTTTGGCAAATAATTATTCCCCCAATTTCATGCCAACAACATAATCAGTATCAGGATTTGATTTTTCCGTTCTCTGGTTTACTATAACTGGCACCTGCCGGGGAAGCGATTTCTGTCTCTTCAATCTTTGGCATGTCTAACGCAGACCTGAGTTCGTCTGTGAGTTCTCCAGTGAGTTCCCGGCTACCCCGCCTCTTAATTAGTTCTTCCTGTTGTGCGCTGTGCATGTCTGTGTAGTACTTCAGACCTATACGAACAGGTTCTATAATCTGCTCCTGGAGAATATAAGATTTTATCAATATATATATATATATATATATATATATATATATATATATATACTCATTTCCCATAAATCTCTACAACTCACACTTGATCCCATACATACATTAATATTATGAATTTGTAATGCCAAAATAATAATACTAAAACTTGGTGGTCATATAACCTACCTCTATACATGGAAATAATTCTCCCAGAGCTTCGAAGAGAGGAAGAAGAACATATTTGATAAAGCCCATCTGAGACGATGATTTGGTGACTTTTTCCCGGTCCATAAAAGGAGCAACGGGCAATCCTTCCAGCTTCTCCACATCACTCTGAAAGTATAATTTCACAGGTACTATCTTTACAACAGTGTTTAGTAGTTCAAGTGCATTTGTTTCAAAAGGTTATGGCCTCAGATATTTCAGTTGTATAAGAGCCAGAAAATATAAATGACATCTATATTAACTGAGGATTGCTAAAAAAATCTGACCACGAGATTGTGTGTACTGTCTCCAAGAAATCGCTTTAGCTGTGACAAGCATTTGTTGACTTTGACTAAGNGCAAGTTGTGAAGAGGATGACATACAAAAGGAAAACAAAGACCTAAAATAAATAATCTTATGATGGCTTATTACAAACTAAACAATGAAACATAAAGAATTATTGCACAACCATTCTAATGATTCTAAAGACGTTAAACAGAATGTGCTGAAAGGGAGATTGAGGTTGGGGGGAGGGGGTGTGCAAAGGGGTCGCCACAATCCAAATGTGAACATTTATTGCCAAAATTAGGCCACCTTAACCTTACTAAATACTTCGAAAGCATATTTCTTCAGATTGTAACATTGGTAGTAGGATAAAACATCAATCTGGACAGTGAGGGAGTTACACAGTACCTATCAGTTCCATTGGAAAATTTTCTACATCTTAACTGAACCAGGGCTTTTAATATTAATTAAAAATAAAAATAAAAATTTACTTTGCCTTTTATAGTTCCACCATGTTTCCCTGTTGTTTTGAAATTTCACATTATCCAATTTTTAATGAACTGCAATCATGGCACATTAAGAAAATTAAAATAACATTTTAGAAACAAAAAAGGGGGTAAGTGATGCTCTTTTTGAGCAAATTTGGTCAAAAGTTGGCCTTTACTCAAAAAATTTTAATTTAGTGACTTTAGTATAAAAATGGAAGCCATTTACTGCACTTCGTGAAACTGCCTAATTGCTTCATTTCAGTGAATTTAACCGATTCATAGTAGACTGCACTTTTCATCTCAATTGCAACTATCGAATTAGAATGATAGGTTTAACGGAATCCAGTTCCAGGCCCCAGTTTCACTAAAAAACTGAAGTCAGTTCCTTGGCTTAGTTGACTAGGATTTCCATGAGAGTGCTGTTACACTACTCCTGATAGGGTAAGATGTGCCCATGTGACCATGTAACCATGGTAATTAAGTTCTTAGACAAGTTTTTTTGTGAAGCTGGGGCCAGTTACACTGTTCATCACGCAAACATCTCTACATTTAATTTCAGTTTGAATGGTGAGGAGACATTTTTTTGTCCATCATTACCCGCTTCCTTCGGCAGTGAAATGTAACTTGGTGAAAGAATTGTTCCTTTCCCTCGATATAACAACCAAGATTTTACAAGCAAACCCTTGTGTCCCAACTTCTTTCTTAAAAATAAGTTGCTGGTATCTATGGATACATCTCAAGTTTCTAAACTGGCTAGCATACTGCAGCATATAAAAAGAGGACACTGCTGCTTCTTGGTCACCTACTCATTTGTTCAAATGATTTTAACATTTTCACTCTCCATAAAAAGCCATTTTTGCTTTGTTTTTCTTTTTTTTTTTCAGCGAATATAACTCACTGTTGGTCTGCTGCTTTTGCCTTTTTTGGGCAAATAATGTTGTTCTTCAATCAGTTTGCAATAATATACATTGGTTGATTGCTTACTTCAACCTTTTTGGCAAATAATTATTCCCCCAATTTCATGCCAACAACATAAACAGTATCAGGATTTGATTTTTCCGTTCTCTGGTTTACTATAACTGGCACCTGCCGGGGAAGCAATTTCTGTCTCTTCAATCTTTGGCATGTCTAACGCAGACCTGAGTTCGTCTGTGAGTTCTCCAGTGAGTTCCCGGCTACCCCGCCTCTTAATTAGTTCTTCCTGTTGTGCGCTGTGCATGTCTGTGTAGTACTTCAGACCTATACGAACAGGTTCTATAATCTGCTCCTGGAGAATATAAGATTTTATCAGTATATATATATATATATATATATATATATATATATATATATATATATATATATATATATATATATCAGTTCTGAGGAGAAAACAATAAGCCAACAAATGCTTTACAAAAATAACACATGGACTGAGTCGGATAAAACACCCTCTAAAGCTTTGAACAACTAGATGAGATAACTGTCTTGACAACATCTTGCTAATTAGCTTTTTACATAAAATCCCATAAATCTTTACAACTTACTCTAGATCCATTACATACATAAATATTATGAATTTGAAATGCCCAAATAATAATACTTAAATTGGGTGGTCATATAACCTACCTCTATACATGGAAATAATTCTCCCAGAGCTTCGAAAAGAGGAAGAAGAACATATTTGATAAAGCCCATCTGAGACGATGATTTGGTGACTTTTTCCCGGTCCATAAAAGGAGCAACGGGCAATCCTTCCAGCTTCTCCACATCACTCTGAAAGTATAATTTCATAGGTACTATCTTTATAACAGTGTTTCGTGGTACGAGTACATTTGTTTCAAAAGGTTATGGCCTCAGATATTTCAGTTGTATAAGAGCCAGAATATATAAATCACATCTATACTAACTGAGGATTGCTAAAAAAATCTGACCACGAGATTGTGTGTACTGTCTCCAAGAAATCGCTTTAGCTGTGACAAGTATTTGTTGGCTTTGACTAAGATACTGTTTTAGTTAAAACAAGGAAAATATGTTGCCTGTGACAAAGATTTTGTGTTAGTTGTAACAAGGAGATCATTGGCTGAGACAGTGAGACTGGGTCAGGCGAAACAGTGAAACAGATTGCATTAGCTGTGAAAGTGAGATTATGTTAATAGAGACAGCGAGATTGTGTGAGTTGAGACAAAGCCCTACCTGTGTGAAGAACTCTGTAAGGAGACAGTCCAGCCAAGGTTCTGCCACCTCCAGGGGACGTGCCTCATTTGAAATATCTGCCACCTTAATCAGGATCATCATTAGCTGAAAGGGAAACACAAATAAGTTTCACAGAAGTCTACAAATGTGGTTTCTTTTCAATATCGATTATGTTTATTTCTGTCAATTTACACTGTAGCATTCAAATCGGTACATTGTATTATGCTTAAGGTTCTGTTTTATGCAAGTTACCCACCCACACCATATTTTTGTTTGAGCAAGTTACCAATAATTTTAATTTCCAACCAACAATATAACTTTTTATATCTAATGCTGGTAAAATCAACCAAGAAATATTCAATTAATATACGCACGCAGTTCTGAAAATTAAAGGAGCATAAGCTACAAAGATCAAGTCTGTTAGTACACACACTTTCTTTTTTTTAACTATTCAATTCAATACTGTTCAATTCCTGAATTTACCAGCAAAACTTACCAGAGATTTGTGTTCTTTGTTCTTAAAATCAAAGTTTGGTATGAGTGACTTGAAATTGTTGACAATCTCAGAGTGTTTGGCCATATCTGTGGCTAGAATGCACCTGGAGGGAAAAAGGGTATTCACTAATATTCAGCTGGAGAAATGTGTGATGTGTACAGTGACAGACTCATATACATACTATAATCTAACTTAAGAGTGAAAACTCTCATTCATTGACAAGGAAAAAAAACAAGGCAGCAAAGCTGTCAAATGTACAGACAAAAAAAAGGAAATAACTATGCACAAAATAGGCTACTGTCAATTCTGATGCAAAAGTACATTATGTTAAACTGCAAATTCAACATCAAATTTTAATCATGCTCAACAGGTAATACCAATGTAAGTAAAATGTGTAACAAGCATAAGGATTCAGGCCCATGGGAGTTCAAGTTCACACTTTGAAAGTGTATAACTTTATAATATATTTATAATATGTTGCATATATGCGGAAAAGTGAAAAAACAGCATAACTTCTACAATAATGACCCGATCATGCTGATTTTCGAACTTGACCTGCGTTTTAGTAAGATTGATTACTCCTGTGAGTTTCATGACAACAGGTCTATCGGTTTTCCTTGAAATGTGTTAACAGTGTTGCATATATGCTGAAAAGTGAAAAAACAGCATTACTACTAAAATAGTGGCCCGATCATGCCGATTTTTTAACTTGATAAGCGTTTTAGTAAGATTGATTACTCCTGTGAGTTTCATGACAACAGGCCTATCGGTTTTCCTTGAAATGTGTTAACAGTGTTACATATATGCTAAAAAGTGAAAAAACAGCATAAATTCTACAATAATGGCCCGATCATGCTGATTTTTTAACTTGATAAGCGTTTTATGAATATTAGTCAGCTCTGTAAATATAAAGCCAAAAAGTAAAATTGTCTTCCACTTATGGTGTTAACGCTGAAAGTGCACGGCGACGGCGACATGATAGGCAACGACAGACGCAGGTGATGGCAATATGTACAGACACATCTGTGTCTGTACATAAAAAAACTGGGAATAATCTTCCAGTACAGTTGTTCCATTGTTATAGATAATTGTTGTTATCAGGTTTCTACCAATGCACTGAATCACTGAATAATATGTAAAATGATACAAGATAGTGATTTTCGCCTCATTACCACTGTTTTGGTGGTAATACAGAAATCGTTATATTTCTACGTTTCTACGCGTTGTTTACAATTTATTAATTGTGAAATATGGATCTCACAGAGTTGGTATCCCTTAAACCAGCTGACCTGTTTCCCTTAAGTGAGACGCTTAGGGTGTATTCCCTGAGATTTAGATCGATCCAGGGATTAAGATTTAGATCGACCGAACTCCCTGGGGGTACACGCTAAATTGCAATCAGCCGAGCGCGCACCATACTTAATTACCCCCTTACAGCTTTCAGTAGGCGGAACAGACGCTTAAGCCGGCTAAGCTGACAGTAATCAAGTGAGACTCCCCACAGGGATAGATCGATCTAAAATCTATGGAAATAGGGTCTTACTTGATCATGCCTTCCCTGATTCTTTTAAATGTGTCGACTGGTACATTCCTGAATATATTTGCATTGTTCTTTTCCAGAATCTCGAAGGCTACAGAACAGTGGTGGTTTTCCAGAGGAGAGATATCATTGTAGCGCAGAGCCAGCTCTGTTCTTGCATTGATCTGAAAAAAGGGTACAAGGCACAAAGTGCTAATATAAGTTCATAATATATTGATTTAATGTCATTTCTCAAATTACAACTGTTCTCAATGTAACAGTTTCAGCTAGAATTTACTATTTAAACCAATACTAACCAATCTAATTTACCTGTAAGGAATTTATTACTCATATCAAAATAATTATCAATCTGACAGGTAGAAATTCATTACTCAAAATATATAAATATGTAAACATTTATTTATTTATTTATTTTAATTATAAATCTGACTACTCAAATCAAAGTAACTATCAATCTGGTTGACCTGTTATGGATTACGTTACTCATATCAAAATAATTATCAGTCTGACAGACCAGGTAGGAATCCATTACACAAATTAACAACATTATTAATCCCACAGACCTGGTAGGCATTATTATACCCTGGATGCCCCAGATCATGACATATAGCTGAGGTAATGAGGACTAAGACTTCTAAATCATCAATGTAGCTGGACAGATCTATTAACCAGGTCATTCCATACATCTGAAATAGAACAGAAAGACATTAATAACTAGAGGATCAGAGAGGCGATACCGCCTCCGAATATTGTACCACCAGCTGGAGCAAGCGCATTCTTTTAGACCCCCACATACACAAAATAAGGGACACAGCCACCAGTCTTGTGCTTGACAAGCTGTAAACATGCAACAAGAATTTTAAAAATATGCAAAAAATACATATAACTAAAAATGGTACAATCAAATTTAAGTTAATCGNATTGGGTCAGGTGAAACAGTGAAACAGATTGCATTAGCAGTGAAAGTGAGATTATGTTAATATAGAGACAGCGAGATTGTGTGAGTTGAGACAAAGTCCTACCTGTGTGAAGAACTCTGTAAGGAGACAGTCCAGCCAAGGTTCTGCCACCTCCAGTGGACGTGCCTCATTTGAAATATCTGCCACCTTAATCAGGATCATCATTAGCTGAAAGGGAAACACAAATAAGTTTCACAGAAGTCTACAAATGTGGTTTCTTTTCAATATCGATTATGTTTTTTTCTGTCAATTTACACTGTAGCATTCAAATCGGTACATTGTATTATGCTTAAGGTTCTGTTTTATGCAAGTTACCTACCCACACCATATTTTTGTTTGAGCAAGTTACCAATAATTTTAATTTCCAACCAACAATATAACTTTTTATATCTAATGCTGGTAAAATCAACCAAGAAATATTCAATTAATATACGCATGTAGTTCTGAAAATTAAAGGAGCATAATTAATAATAATGTTAGTACACACACTTTCTTTTTTTTTAAACTATTCAATTCAATACTGTTCAATTCCTGAATTTACCAGCAAAACTTACCAGAGATTTGTGTTCTTTGTTCTTAAAATCAAAGTTTGGTATGAGTGACTTGAAATTGTTGACAATCTCAGAGTGTTTGGCCATATCTGTGGCTAGAATGCACCTGGAGGGAAAAAGGGTATTCACTAATATTCAGCTGGAGAAATGTGTGATGTGTACAGTGACAGACTCATATACATACTATAATCTAACTTAAAAGTGAAAACTCTCATTCATTGACAAAAAAAGAAAAAAAATAACTGGAAATAATTTTCCAGTACAGTTGTTCCATTGTTATAAATCATTGTGGTTATCAGGTTTCTACCAATGCACTGAATCACTGAATAATATGTAAAATGATACAAGATAGTGATTTTCGCCTCATTACCACTGTTTTGGTGGTAATACAGAAATCGTTATATTTCTACGTTTCCACGCGTTGTTAACAATGTATTAATTGTGAAATATGGATCTCACAGAGTTGGTATCCCTTAAACCAGCTGACCTGTTTCCCTTAAGTGAGACGCTTAGGGTGTATTCCCAGAGATTTAGATCGATCCAGGGATTAAGATTTAGATCGACCGAACTCCCTGGGGGTTCACGCTAAATTGCAATCAGCCAAGCGCGCACCATAGTTAATTACCCCCTTACAGCTTTCAGTAGGCGGGACAGACGCTTAAGCCGGCTAAGCTGACAGTAATCAAGTGAGACTCCCCACAGGGATAGATCGATCTAAAATCTATGAAAATGGGGTCTTACTTGATCATGCCTTCCCTGATTCTTTTAAATGTGTCGACTGGTACATTCCTGAATATATTTGCATTGTTCTTCTCCAGAATCTCGAAGGCAACAGAACAGTGGTGGTTTTCCAGAGGAGAGATATCATTGTAGCGCAGAGCCAGCTCTGTTCTTGCATTGATCTGAAAAAAGGGTACAAGGCACAAAGTGCTAATATAAGTTCAAAATATATTGATTTAATGTCATTTCTCAAATTACAACTGTTCTCAATGTAACAGTTTCAGCTAGAATTTACTATTTAAACCAATACTAACCAATCTGATTTACCTGTAAGGAATTTATTACTCATATCAAAATAATTATCAATCTGACAGGTAGAAATTCATTACTCAAAATATATAAATATGTAAACATTTATTTATTTATTTATTTCAATTATAAATCTGACTACTCAAATCAAAGTAACTATCAATCTGGTTGACCTGTTATGGATTACGTTACTCATATCAAAATAATTATCAGTCTGACAGACCAGGTAGGAATCCATTACACAAATTAACAACATTATTAATCCCACAGACCTGGTAGGCATTATTATACCCTGGATGCCCCAGATCATGACATATAGCTGAGGTAATGAGGACTAAGACTTCTAAATCATCAATGTAGCTGGACAGATCTATTAACCAGGTCATTCCATACATCTGAAATAGAACAGAAAGACATTAATAATAAGTAACTATCACAGAATCTTCTCTCCAAAAAAAAAAAAAAAAAAAAAAATAGATTAATAAATAATACAGACATGAGCCTAAGTAAAAAAAAAAAAAAAAAAAAAAAAAAATTGAGCATTTATCATGGGACCAACACCCAGATTTTTTTTGTGGATCTTGACAAATTTTAGGAACAATCAGAAGTGAATTTAAAAACACAAAAATTCCGCATTTCCGTGGAAAAAGCTCATGTCTGATAATAATAATAATAATATTTTCAACTTATTAAAAAATCTCAACCATATCTTCTCTACTGCAATATTCAGTGGACCTCGGCAGGTCTACCAGCCACATCAGTCATGAAATTGATTAAAAAAAAAAAAAAAATACAGATCTCACTCCATAATACTAATGTGCTCTTCTCATCCAGTTCACATCAAAGACTTTTATCACATCTACAGATCAATAGCCAGTCAGTTGTGTGATCAAGGCCCTTTGATAAAGGATCAAAACATCATTGGGTAGAAAAACATGTTTTCTCTCTTTAGAAATGATTCAATCTTTTATCTTCATAACACAAGAGAGGACTTAAAGCCCTGTAGTTAACCTATACATTGTCTTTTTCAGGGGCGGATTTAGGCCGTCTTTTGGGTCTTCCGGAAGACGGTGAGATTTTTCAAGTTTACATTGTCAGGTATCTAATGTTTTCTGTCGGACAACAGTCAAAATGGAGGATTGATGAACAAAGATAATTTGGAAGACTGTCAGAAAATATCTCTGGATCTGCCCCTGTTTTTTAGAAAAGGACAAATATAGTTTTACTTCCACTGTGAAACACTCACCCCCCACACAGTGCATTGTAGTTAACAAGGCAATTACACTGATTATTTGATGGCACTACCGGTAACAGTGGCTTATTGACCTATACCTGCAAGCAGTAGTCACAATATAATACGAGTCTCAAGAGTAAAGCAAGCTCTTAAGTTTTCACTTAATTTGGACAAATGAACTCACTCCTGTCTCATTCATCCATCAACTAGATCATATTATAAAGGCCTTAAAATATAAGATTTATAGGGATCTCTCTCTCACTCTCTCTTTCTCTCTCACACATAAATAAATAAATAAATAAATAAATAAATAAATAAATAAATAAATAAATAAATAAATATGTCACAAAACCTCAGAGCAAGGTTTACCAGCTAGGTTCTTCACTGATCTGAGTTAGTCTGCTTTCCGGTCTTAGGTAACTATAATAGTCTGTACTTGTCATTATTTTGATATCAAGACACCACAATATGGGTTTTAATATCCTCTGGAAGGAGGATATGGCACCCTTACGTCAAGCAATAATTTCTAGTATAAGATGACATGTGCCGATCTCATTTCCACCTTCCATACGAGACCTGAACTTAATTACGTCCCTTGATTCAGCAACCCCAAACATCACTATAATGAGAACCAAGATAGGGCTTCAAATGGTAAAATTTAAAATAAAATAAATATGTAGTGGTCCATTAAGTACCAGTCTACAGCATTAGTTCTTATTTCTTTCTTTTCTTTTAATATAATAAAAAGGTGAAATTTTCTCGTGCAGTTTTGTCATTCCTGTGGGGACAATGTGGAAAAGAAAATGTTGTTTTAACAGTTACGAACAACATAAGACTTAAGTTCTTTTGTTAATCCAAAACTGACTCCTGGTTTTAATTTAGTGGCATTCTTTTAGGAAAGAAATATTCTGTAATCCTTGTGATGAGAAGTCTCTAGGTGGACAGGCAGTCATTATTTCAGTTAATGGCCGATGGTTTTATTCAGCTCTCTCTCTCTCTCTCTCTCTCTCTAAGATAAAGATGGAATTATAATCAAATCCTTAGTTTTTTTTTCAGTGAGACATCAAATTAGCAAAAATTTATTTTTCCTTTTGTTGGTCAAATAAGTCATCTTTTGCCCATATGTTTAAAATGTGTGTGTGTGTGTGTGTATGTGTGTGTGTGTGCCCACACGTGTACAAACATGCATGTGTGTAATCAGGAAAATCATGTGACAATTTAGTATACTTAACAAATGATTGTGTTAATGAAAGGAAGTGAGCTGCTTTCAAAGGTGAGTTTATATGGACATTTTCCTCTCTGATTGCATGTCAACTATGCACGTGTGATTGTTCTCACGGCATAGAGGTTTGTATAACTGCCCTAAATATTTCGTAAGTGTTCAAGATAGAAGAGGCTTCATGTTTCATATAGATAAGGTTTCAACTTCCTTTTAAGGCCTAAAAAAGTACTGTGTTTTTTGTCAAGAAAAAATTTGAAAGTGGTGCAATGTTTTTTTTTTTTAATACACATTCAGTCCAGATCCTGCCATTCAGGTAACAGGCTTTGGATAGCATGCTAAATGGTAACTTACTTAAACTTCTGCTCAGTTAAAAATGCATAAAATCAAAGTAAAAACATGTCAGCATGACATATAATATAAAGATAAACTTGGGCACCAACAAAATACCACATGCAGCCACAAAATACTGCAAGCAGAGCTGCATGTGCTTGAATGTCATCCAGAGCGGCGAACGCCCATGCGATGAGAAGTATGGGACCGTTCACATGAAAAATCTATTTTCTAAAAATAAAGATATTGGCGGTATCTTTATTTTTAGAAAATAGATATTTCATGTGAACGGTCCCTTAATGTATGTGTGAATAAACAAAGTGAAAAGCTTCCTCACATTTTTTGTTTGCTTGTGATGTAGGACCTGTAACACATGCAGTATCGGGGTAGTGTGACGCCAAGGACCCGAATGTTACGGTGAAATTCCTTTAGTTTACTTTATTATTTTAGTTCAAAATAAACCTCTAGCCGACATGCAGATTTAAACCGGTCTCCAACTGATAATGCGGGACTGATAGGCCCAATACTAACTTGGTGCCAAAGGCCATGTGGCACCTCCGACAACAAAACGCATAAAAGATTATATTTTCAAAAATGTTGTTATAGGTGTCTCTTTTATATTGATAATTTTAGTTGCATTTGATACTGAAATGTTGTGCATTACACTCCCTTAGATAAAAAGACAAAAACATCTTTTGAAAATACATGATATCCCACATTTTTTTTTATCTCATACATTTGTGATGGAAATATTTCATACCTCGAGCCTTATTTATGTCATTCTACTTCTTTTCTTCCTTTTGTAGAGACTATCAATTCTTTTGACTCAATCAACCAGTAAGTGCATTTCTTCCGCATGACATTTTCAACAGGACACCCAAGTTATTTTCACCCTTCAGCAGAAAAATATTCTTTAAATCTTAACCAAGTGTCAGTAAGTCGAATTTCTCAGAAAGGAACCTGCTAAGCTTTCCTACATTATAAAGCCTCAACTATTCCGTGAATAATTTCATCTTCATTATTGCAAATCCTCTCAGAAAGTGGAAATGCAAATATTTCTTGCATTACCTTAATTTATTATCTTTGGGCTGAAAAAAAATGCATGGTCATCGAAGGACCTCTCAAACCAAAACTAAAAAAAATAGAACTTTTGATGTGACAAGGCTTGGAGAGTTGCAGACAGTGACCTAAACCACACGGAAAACTTCCTGCTTTTCACTTTGTGGCACTGTGACTTCATGGTCAACATCCACACAGACTTAAACAGACTGCATGTAGAGAAGAGAAACTCCAACAGAAGTGGCAAGACAGATTTTGTCATGCTCATTCAAATCATGACTTAATGTCAACTTGCCACCTGAGCACTAAAACATAAGACGGTTGTAAAAAATTGTCTAGATAAAAAGAACAAAATGAGCTGAATATTTGGAAGCATCAATTCAAACCATGAATTACAGGGGTGGATCCAGAGATATTTTCTGGCTGTCTTCCAAATTATCTTTGTTGATCCATCCTGTCTTCCGTCAGAACAAATTGTTCCCTGAATTATGTGTCAACTTACCATTTGAGCCACCATGAAACAATGTTTGAAGTTGTGAAAGGGAACGGGATTGTAATGGCGGTACACCTCAAACAGCCAATGCTGCAGCACTGAGAGCTGAAAAAGAATAAAAGCAACATTTTATATGTATTGATCTTATTGTCATTGGTTCTTTTTAAAGCTGACGATAATGTTATATGTTTGAGGCTTCTTTATTTTAGATAAAATCCTAAAGCTGATGACAATCGAATCACAGACAAAAGAACAAGATCGCATTCACAACGAGTTGAGCCAGGCTTTACAAATCCTGGGGACTAAATATGGCGGATGTACATGAAAGAAAAACCGCCTAATCTTTTAATAGTCTCTCCGCCTCTCACAGGCCTCCCCACGTGTCATCCCAATGGAGCTGAGATTTAATGACTGTCGCCCCGCAGGGACGACGTGTGGGGAGGCGTGTGAGAGGCAGAGAGACTATTAAAAGATTAGGCGTTTTTTCTTTCATGTACGACCGCCATATTTAGTCCCCAAGATTTGTAAAGCCTGGCTCAACTTGTTGTGAATGCGATCCAAGACAACCAATATCTCTCTCTCTCTCTCAAATTCAGAAAGTGAGAATTGCATAATTTATAGCATCAAATATGTTGAATTTGGTGAGGAAACAGAGGCCTCATATAGCTGTTGCAGTAAAGAGCTGGAAACACTCTCTCTTTCTCTCTCACTTTGTTAGAGTGTATGCATGTGTGTACATACATGCCTGTGCGTTCACATTTTCAGATAGTGTCACAATTATATATCCTGTACAACACTCTACCTCTATGTTGAACTTTGTGAGGAACCCCAGATCTATGTACATCTGCTGCAGTAATATCAGCATTTCTGCATCGTCCCACTGCCAGTTATCGAATGTCGGCTTTTTCAGATAATCTCTCACTTCATCCGTTACCTGAACAGTGCTGAAAATACAGGCGTATGCACAGGTTTTAGGTGTTTTATTCTCCAAACAAAAAACCACCTAGATTTTCTGGGTACATTGTAAGGCCATATTCACAACCAGCTGATCAACGGTCAAAGTAGTCCTTGGATCAAATATGGCACAACACACTTAAAAGCTTGCCGAAATTTAATTACTCTGCCCCTGCTAGGACAGCAAGCATGGGAGGTGGAAAGCCATTGTCAAATGCGGGCCATGTTTGATCCGCAGACTAGTTAGTCCATGGTTCAACTGGTTGTGAATGCTGCCGAAGTCATGTTTCCATTCAACCTAGGCGCAACTAATTCAGTCCACCAAGTTCAGCAGGTGGTTTGATTATGATTATCTCATCATGGGAGGCCATTCTAATGGCACTTGTCTTCACACAATTAAATGGCAATGGGCGGGACAGCAGGGAGACTGGACAGGTTGCTTGTGGAGAGGTAATCGTAACAAGATGACTTTCCAAAAAATAGTACCAATACTGACTGACATAACTTTAATGGAAACATGACCCACACATGACCCACAGCCACTTCTTCTGTAAAAACTCGTTCATGGAAGTTTTGTCCCATTTTACTCCAAAACCATCATTCATTTCATTAGTCTTTTCAGATATATTTTTGTAGCTAAATTTGATTTAAAAAAAGAAATTCCAACCAGAAATGTCTTTAAGCCTTTGTCTAGCTTGAGGGTCTTCACATGCAATCTTGTACTTCGTACTGTAAGTATACTTCAATAAGGATTAAATATCTTAAATTGTAACATTACAGTCATTATAAAGCCGATAAACGTTGACCCTTTCTTTTTGTATATCAACAATTGCCTAATTTCCCTTAATACTATTGATTTTTTGTCATTGCTCACCTCATCTTTTTAAATTTCTCAAAAATCCTCTTATAATGTGCGTCATTTTGCTTTGGTGAGTTATTTTTGTCCCAAAATGGCTTGAGGGACGTCTTCACAGAGATGTCTTTTGAAAGACCGAGCCAGCTTAAATGGTCTACATGCTGAAAATAAAATATATCAATAATTGAAAAATAACAAAAAATGTATGGGATTCATTCAAGTGCATCGATGCAGCAAGGTTGTGTAAACACATATAATTCTATACTTAATTTTTCTCTTTAAAAATTAAAGTTTAGGTTTATAGCCTGGTATATTAGACAGATTGAAAAGTAAGCTTAACAACTCTTCCAATCCAAAAAGAGACCGAGATTATTGATGACTTTGGCTTCAAATCAAAGTGCTCAAAATTTGTACAGAAATAACTCATAGATGGCTTCAAAAAAAAAAAAAAAAAAATCACTTTTTATTTATATATGCAAAAGTAAAAAAAATGGGAGAGTAAAAAAGTTTTGCAAATTATAAACTTTCAAAATAATCACTGCTGATGTCTACGGAAACCAAAGGTCACAAGGCAACTTGAGAATGTCAAGGCTTATTATGGTCTAATCAAATTGGCATTCTCACTTTCACAATTAAGGGTGCCTGAAATGATTGCAAGAAAAGCTGCACCAAAAATTGCTAGAACATTTTGCAAATTCAAAGAAATGCCAATATAATTATATAAGTGAAACTTCATGTTAGAATCAAGCTCTACTTCACTGCCCTGTTGGAGAGTCTAAAACCATTCTTGACCTAAAGAAAATGATCACAATAAAGTAGAAAATGAACCAACTTGATGCTAGTGACTCAAATGTAATTTTTTTTTATTTGGTATTTCTTTGAAAATGACAGTTACAAAACAACAATTCAGATTTAATCCATCTTAAATTATGGCAGAGCTGTTTTTCATTGTATGCTGTCATTAACAATGAGGCAAAGATTCTTTTTTGACATGTGCAAGAGACACATAGATCTAGTGAGCTAGTGTGGTAGCAGAACTGAGCTAAGGTATGGTATAGCTTCCCTTTATCTATGTAATTTATGATGGTAATTTCTACTCTCTCTCTCTCTCTGGTCCCCTTGGCTTCAGTTTTAACTTAAAATAGATTATTAATAGAGGTTTTATAATCTTTTTCCTTTGCACAAAATCTTTTTTTTTTAGCTAAAAGCACGGAAGACTTTGAAAAGATTATTACAGGATAGTGCAATAGGAAAAGACCAAGAAGAAAATTTATTCATAAATCTAACCAAATCACTCCACAGACTGTTAGCAAGAAATACTCTTTAAAAACAAAAGTGCAATATCATCTTCACTAATTCTATCCATTTAAAAGGAATGCATATTTTTCAGAAAAATATCACTTAGAGATCAATATTCATCCCTCACCATTAAAAACGTCTGCAAATAATACACATTATGATCTCATAAACTAAGTCTTAGCCAATAAACCCTGTGGGGGAAGAACGATGTACATATTCAGTAATTACTCTCCCTATTCGAGCAAATATCGATTCAGCTTATGTCCCCAAATAACAGTTATGTCAGTAACATGTGTAAAAGATAAAATGACAGTTAAGAAAATCAAACTGGTTTCAAGTCAGAGTAGAATTTTTTGTGAGAATCTTATAAACCATTAATAAATCATTGAAAAAAAATATGTAATGGATTATTTTAGGGGTGAAAAATGTGTAAATAAATGTAGTATTTGTGCATGTGACACATGCCATAAAAATTTTTGTCCAATGTTGGCAAATTCTATAATTCTGATATGTTCCTTGAAAGGAACTTGAGACAGCAACTAGGTGATACTATCCCCAAATAATCAAGTTTAAAAAAAATCACCTCATAAGACGATGATACAGTCTCTGAATCACAATAACAGAGCATTCAACAACCATTTTTCTTTGTCACAGATAATCTGTGGCACTTTTCCTCTTTTTCCCCAAACAAATCATCTGCTTGCCCTTAATGCTGAAAATTAATCGATCTCAACGTTTGATTAATCTGCTCTGAGCCCCGAGGTTTTCTCGTCAATTATTTCATCTAGTCTATTAGTAGTCTATCTAAACTTCTCTGTTGACAACATTTTTATCATTATTCAACTAGTAACTAGNTCCAAGACAACCAATATCTCTCTCTCTCTCAAATTCAGAAAGTGAGAATTGCATAATTTATAGCATCAAATATGTTGAATTTGGTGAGGAAACAGAGGCCTCATATAGCTGTTGCAGTAAAGAGCTGGAAACACTCTCTCTTTCTCTCTCACTTTGTTAGAGTGTATGCATGTGTGTACATACATGCCTGTGCGTTCACATTTTCAGAAAGTGTCACAATTATATATCCTGTACAACACTCTACCTCTATGTTGAACTTTGTGAGGAACCCCAGATCTATGTACATCTGCTGCAATAATATCAGCATTTCTGCATCGTCCCACTGCCAGTTATCGAATGTCGGCTTTTTCAGATAATCTCTCACTTCATCCGTTACCTGAACAGTGCTGAAAATACAGGCATATGCACAGGTTTTAGGTGTTTTATTCTCCAAACAAAAAAACACCTAGATTTTCTGGGTACATTGTAAGGCCATATTCACAACCAGCTGATCAACGGTCAAAGTAGTCCTTGGATCAAATATGGCGCAACACACTTAAAAGTTTGCCGAAATTTAATTACTCTGCCTCTGCTGGGACAGCAAGCATGGGAGGTGGGAAGCCATTGTCAAGTGCGCACCATATTTGATCCACAGACTAGTTAGTCCACAGTTCAACTGGTTGTGAATGCACCGTAAGTCATGTTTCCATTCAACCTGGGTACAACTAACTCAGTCAACCAAGTTCAGCAGGTGGTTTGATTTTCTCACCACAGGAGGCCATTGTAATGGCACTTGCCTTCACACAATTAAATGGCAATGGGCGGGACAACAAGGAGATTGGACAGGTTGCTCGTGGAGAGGTAATCGTAACAAGATGACTTTCCAAAAAAATAGTACCAATACTGACTGACATAACTTTAATGGAAACATGACCCACACATGACCCACAGCCACTTCTTCTGTAAAAACTCGTTCATGGAAGTTTTGTCCCATTTTACTCCAAAACCATCATTCATTTCATTAGTCTTTTCAGATATATTTTTGTAGCTAAATTTGATTTAAAAAAAGAAATTCCAACCAGAAATGTCTTCAAGCCTTTGTCTAGCTTGAGGGTCTTCACATGCAATCTTGTACTTCGTACTGTAAGTATACTTCAGTAAGGATTAAATATCTTAAATTGTAACATTACAGTCATTATAAAACCGATAAACGTTGACCCTTTTTTTTTGTATATCAAAAATTGCCTAATTTCCCTTAATACTATTGATTTTTTGTCATTGCTCACCTCATCTTTTTAAATTTCTCAAAAATCCTCTTATAATGTGCGTCATTTTGCTTTGGTGAGTTATTTTTGTCCCAAAATGGCTTGAGGGACGTCTTCACAGAGATGTCTTTTGAAAGACCGAGCCAGCTTAAATGGTCTACATGCTGAAAATAAAATATATCAATAATTGAAAAATAACAAAAAATGTATGGCATTCATTCAAGTGCATCGATGCAGCAAGGTTGTGTAAACACATATAATTCTATACTTAATTTTTCTCTTTAAAAATTAAAGTTTAGGTTTATAGCCTGGTATATTAGACAGATTGAAAAGCAAGCTTAACAACTCTTCCAATCCAAAAAGAGACCGAGATTATTGATGACTTTGGCTTCAAATCAAAGTGCTCAAAATTTGTACAGAAATAACTCATAGATGGATTAAAAAAAAAAAAAAAAAATCACTTTTTATTTATATATGCAAAAGTAAAAAAAATGGGAGAGTAAAAAAGTTTTGCAAATTATAAACTTTCAAAATAATCACTGCTGATGTCTACGGAAACCAAAGGTCACAAGGCAACTTGAGAATGTCAAGGCTTATTATGGTCTAATCAAATTGGCATTCTCACTTTCACAATTAAGGGTGCCTGAAATGATTGCAAGAAAAGCTGCACCAAAAATTGCTAGAACATTTTGCAAATTCAAAGAAATGCCAATATAATTATATAAGTGAAACTTCATGTTAGAATCAAGTTCTACTTCACTGCCCTGTTGGAGAGTCTAAAACCATTCTTGACCTAAAGAAAATGATCACAATAAAGTAGAAAATGAATCAACTTGATGCTAGTGACTCAAATGTAATTTTTTTTATTTGGTATTTCTTTGAAAATGACAGTTACAAAACAACAATTCGGATTTAATCCATCTTAAATTATGGCAGAGCTGTTTTTCATTGTATGCTGTCATTAACAATGAGGCAAAGATTCTTTTTTGACATGTGCAAGAGACACATAGATCTAGTGAGCTAGTGTGGTAGCAGAACTGAGCTAAGGTATGGTATAGCTTCCCTTTATCTATGTAATTTATGATGGTAATTTCTACTCTCTCTCTCTCTCTCTCTCTCTCTCTGGTCCCCTTGGCTTCAGTTTTAACTTAAAATAGATTATTAATAGAGGTTTTATAATTTTTTTCCTTTGCACAAAATCTTTTTTTTTTAGCTAAAAGCACGGAAGACTTGAAAAGATTATTACAGGATAGTGCAATAGGAAAAGACCAAGAAGAAAATTTATTCATAAATCTAACCAAATCACTCCACAGACTGTTAGCAAGAAATACTCTTTAAAAACAAAAGTGCAATATCATCTTCACTAATTCTATCCATTTAAAAGGAATGCATATTTTTCAGAAAAATATCACTTAGAGATCAATATTCATCCCTCACCATTAAAACGTCTGCGAATAATACACATTATGATCTCATAAACTAAGTCTTAGCCAATAAACCCTGTGGGGGAAGAACGATGTACATATTCAGTAATTACTCTCCCTATTCGAGCAAATATCGATTCAGCTTATGTCCCCAAATAACAGTTATGTCAGTAACATGTGTAAAAGATAAAATGACAGTTAAGAAAATCAAACTGGTTTCAAGTCAGAGTGGAATTTTTTGTGAGAATCTTATAAACCAATAATAAATCATTGAAAAAAAATATGTAATGGATTATTTTAGGGGTGAAAAATGTGTAAATAAATGTAGTATTTGTGCATGTGACACATGCCGTAAAAATTTTTGTCCAATGTTGGCAAATTCTATAATTCTGATATGTTCCTTGAAAGGAACTTGAGACAGCAACTAGGTGATACTATCCCCAAATAATCAAGTTTAAAAAAAATCACCTCATAAGACGATGATACAGTCTCTGAATCACAATAACAGAGCATTCAACAACCATTTTTCTTTGTCACAGATAATCTGTGGCACTTTTCCTCTTTTTCCCCAAACAAATCATCTGCTTGCCCTTAATGCTGAAAATTAATCGATCTCAACGTTTGATTAATCTGCTCTGAGCCCCGAGGTTTTCTCGTCAATTATTTCATCTAGTCTATTAGTAGTCTATCTAAACTTCTCTGTTGACAACATTTTTATCATTATTCAACTAGTAACTAATGAATGCTTGTTCAGAGAGAGAAATNTTTTTTTTTTTTTTTTGATGACTACGAGCCTGATATACACATATATACACACATAAAAGAAAGGTTGAGTTTTTAAGTTGAGTGTGACCCTATAGGCATTAGGGTCCATAAACTGGGTTTTAGGCAAATGAATAACTTCCATGTATTTTGGGGGTGGGGTGGGGTGGGGTGGGGGATGGGGGAGAGGAGCAGTCCATGAAAGTCATCGACATAAACCAGATGCGATTTATTTGTATCTGAGCGAGACATTATACACACTAAGAAGACTGGCAGACTTCAGCAAATTACAATAAACCTTTTGAGTCCAAAAAAAAAATATATATTGCAATCCTTTTAACAAACCAGCTCTCAACTAACTACAATCACTGCTTTCCCTGTAAACAAAAGCATGATTTTTTTCAAAGCTTTGAAAAATGAAGAAAAAACATATTCATGAACCAATAAATCAACCTTATCCTCTTGGTTCTGAGAAAATTAAGACCCCAGCAAATTGATTCATGAATTTATAACTGCTGTTAAGTAAATGTTATTCCCTTACCACAATCCAATGGTTTTATCCAGAATATGCATATAAAGTTACTGTTACATATTTAACAATTACTTGCATTGGGTAGAGGCAGTGTATGCATACCTCTCTCTCTTTCCTTCTCTCATTCTTTGCATGTGCATGTGTGTGCATGAAGAAATAGTAAAGAAATATGACAGCAACGCAAGTCCCATATACTCCAATACAGGTGTTTGAATGAGGCTAGTGCTATTCTTAAACAAAATAGATAGTATTTTGTCTACAATTAACCAAACCCTGAATATTTTGAAATGCCATTTTAAGGTACTCTCTCTCCCCATGCCTTTGCGCATTTTGAAATAGTGGGGTTGGGGTTTGAGACTGTTAGCAACACACACACATACAAACACATACACACATGCAAACATACACACATATACACAAACACACACACACACACACACACACACGCAAACACACATTTCGGTTCTTCATTACCATCAGTTTTGCCTACCACCAATACTCTTAGACCATTACTGACACTGCATACAATGAAAAAAGTCTAACATCAGCTGCCATAAAGCGTTATCAATTTTTTCTACAATCTCTCTAGTGTTTTTAAATGTAAAACACATCTTCTTGCATCAATCTCCATTGAAGGTAACTGAACCATTATCGTCTCAGAATTTTCAATATTCTTCTCTTCAATTTCTTATCTGTTTCCATATCCTAGACTCATAATTTCACATCACATATCCCTCAAGCTAATATATCGATCAAAAACTAAGCATTATGTTTTTTTTTTCTGCAATTCTCATCTGTTTTCATATTCTTAACATGCCATCTTGAATCAATCTTTCCTGAAGTAAATTGATCCATTATAATCTCATCAATATTGCCTTTTTTCTATAATTCTTACTTTATTTTCATATCCTAACCATGTCCTCTTAAAACCATCTTTATTGAAGTAAATCTTTCCATTATAAAGCGCTTTTTCTTTTTTCTCTACAAAATCTTATCTGTTTTCATATCTTCGCTGTCTTCTCGTATCCCTCAATTGAACTGAGCCATTAAAATCCGTGCATTATCATGTAAAATGCTTTTCTGAAATGATCACGAGGGAAATCAAAAAAATTTATCCCTAGCCCTAATCCAGGCAGATGCATTACTAACCATTGATATATAATAGCCCTAATCTTGCATGATCATTGATCCCTCTGATTAGATTATGCAACAGGTTCACATAAGTACATCCAAACAGTAAAATAATAAGTCCCACAGTTTTCCACAAATTGCATTTAAGGTGAAAAGTGCACAGAGACAACGCAAACAACACACAGGTGATGACTAAATGCCAGGGCAGATGGAGGCCGTATTCTGGGTCTTCCAGAAGACGGTCAGAATTTTTCAAGTTTACATTGACGGGCATCAAAATGGAGGAAGACTCAACAAAGATAATTGGGAAGACTGTCAAAGACTGAAAAAATATCTGGATCAGCCTCTGAAATGTACAGATACTTTGTTTACACATAAGAAAGGGATTTATCTGCAGAGCCTGCAGTAAAACAATTACATCACTATACAGTGACTGAGTGTATCCTATAAAATCATTCATAGACTGTAATATTTAAATAAACAAACAAATAAAACTTTGCAGCAAACTGTGTCCCATGCTCTTAAAATGCAAAATACTGCATATAGTTGCCGACTCATCTCAGGAGTAGCACAAAATTTGACTTCCCAGGCTACTACATTGCTTGTGAACCATCTCCATGGCACAAAAAGAATGAAGTATTTCTTTTTCTTCAATAGATTTTGAGAAGGAAAGGATTTGGAACAGTCTGGTACTAACAACAAACATGCAGAAAAGTAAATGCACAAAATTTTACAGCCCAAGCTACAAATACTTTACCAACATCAAGCAGGGAGGCAATACCAGGGTTGAATACTAAGGGGCCATTCCCATAACCTTACTGTACTAGCAGGATCAATATATCTCCAATGGGATTCTTTCCATTCAGTTTAGATGTGCACAAAAGTTAATTATCCCCCCCCCTTAACAGCTTCAAAGGGCATGACAGGCATTTAAGCCACTTAAACTGATTGCAATTTCGCGAGAATCCCCTCGGAGTTGGATCGAACCAGCTAGAACATAGGTTTATGGGAACCCAGTCTAGATGAATTCACAATCACATGCTAAACAGCGCTTTGTGTGAGCAGGTCAAAGAGACAACCTGGCCACTAAACCACTTCTAGGAAAACTGAAATGGCATTTGGGTAAATTTGCCGATTCCTAATCTGATCTATGATCTGGCGTGATGCCAGTGATCTAACATATAGACATCTCTCTGTGAACCTAACTTAATCAAGAGATCACTTCTGAAGGGATGTGCAAGAGAATACTGTAAAAATAATGAAGGAATACAATGGATTTCCTCCAATTTTGAAAATTTCAAACATAGGCCAGGAA